TTTTTTTTTTTTTAAATTGTAGTTGTTGGAAGTGTTCTGCATACCTATTTTTAGCGCAGAGGAAAAATACAAGACCTTTGCTAACTTGGCCTCATTGCCCATTGAAATCCTTGAAGCTATGAGAAATTATACCCGATTGGAATCCGTAACATAATACTTAACTGATTAAAACTAAGGCAAATATTCATAAACTATTCAGCAACGATTCTCTCAGTAAAATCATGCAGTGTATATTTTGGTGACACAAAACAAAACACAAAATGCAGTTCTCAGTAGAAGCAGTTTCCTTTCATCATTACCAAGATCTATTTTGATTAAACCTTATTCACAGACACAATTTCTAAAGGTCTTCTAAGGCATCTTGTCCCGACATGATAAAACTAGCGAACAGGAGCAGACAGAGCAGTGAACCCCATCACTAGTTCTGCAATCAGGGGACTTCTTGGTACCAGATTTTTCTGACACAAGAAGTTACTAATAAGATGCTTATATTGCCCAAAGTATTGAGAATATCTGAAAAGCAACAACAAAAAAAGGAAGACTTGGGAGGAGATGCACGTGGGACTTGTGCTTTTGATTAATGGGCATAATTCTGAGGAGTGATACTGCTGGCAATGCCAAAGAGATCATGCGTAAATGTGACCGGTGCCCTCGGTGGTGCAGAACAAGCTTCCAAGACGGACAGCAGTCATAAGACTCCTATCACAAGCGAATACAGGAAGCTAAATCAGCAATCTGGCTTTTTTGACTTTGAACCAAATAACCAAATTCTAGTTCTGGGTTGACTGCCTGTAGTTACCACCGAATGCCCACAGTGGACGTGTGCGGGATGCCTGAACGCTCACAGAGCCGTGCTTTGCAGTTACCTTTTGCTTTTGACACCATTTGGGGAAGCAGCACAGAACCTTTTTCAAAAGCAGAAGTTTTATCTTTTCTTACAAAGACTTGGAAGACTTTTGATGTGAGATGGATTCAGTGCAATATTACAAACTGATGTACCACAGAGTAGCAGCCAAAAAAAAAAAATAGTGCCAATCTGAGGCACGGGAACTTTCACCTGAGCAGAACACTCCCAAAAAGGGTTTCCCTGTTGCAATTCCAAATGAAAAACCACTCCAGGCTCGGAGCGCTCCTGTTTGGCAGCAGGGGCGGCCTCCGCGGGGAGCAGAGCCGCGGGCCGAGCGCGGTGTCCCGCGCCCGGCGGAGCCTCCCCACGGGCTCCATGCTCCTCCCCGGACGCGGGCGAGGTTACACCTCTCCGTCCTGCGCCTGTCAGCTGGACTTCTCTGGTTACATGTGTGCTACGCTTTAAAAAAAAAAAAAACACCACCACCACCCTCCAGGCTGGCTTACTCAGCAGGTTATAAAGAGGGATTTACAAAATGCGGCTTTCTTCCAGATCAGCCCGTGCCTTTGTATTTATGTGACTGAAGGTCTCAGCTGATCCCTTCTTTTCTTGTACAGGCAAGAGGTTTGCGGCGGCAGCAGCAGCCACGGGCAGTGCAATACTGTAAGTCACCGGGAACGCTGGGTGCTTCTGCTCTCTCAGGTCGGAAGGGGTTGGCTCGTGGCGTGTGCGGCTCCCTAACACCCGTGGGATTTCTCTAGGCTGGAAGGTGCAGAGCGTCTTCGGCTGGCGCTGCCCTGCAAGATGCAGCAGCAGCGAGCGCCTATTTTATAAGAGGAGCGGGAAGGAATGATGCAATCGTGCAGGGGGAGAGCAGCATCGCGCTGCCGGGACATGCGAAGGGGATTGGAGGGTTGGGTATGGCAACACCTAGGAGGTTTCCTCCGGCCTTTTCCATCTGCTTTTTCAAAGATGCTTAAGGAAATTTGCGGCTCGACGCTGCTGCCAGGTAGCTGTGCAGAGCTGCAAACCACCCATATGTTGGTCTGCGTGCAGGCTGATAGCATTACCTTTAAAAAAATGAACTGAAAAGCAAAAAGGTTAAAGCAACAGGCTTAAAGCAGGCTCAGCGAGCTAACTTAAGGACTGAGTCTTTCCTATCTTGCCCCAACAACCATAGAAACTCCCAATTATGCACATATGGATTGAGCCTTTTTAAAGAGTTTTACTAGCAGGAATATGATTAATCAATAATTTACTTGAATTTAACTAATTTGCACAAATGCATATCTTTCCTCAAGAGTGATGCTGTTCTTACCCCCTGCCCAGGGCAAACGGGGACCAGCTTCACTGAGAGCAGGGAAAAGCCAAGGCAAACGACCTCAAAGCTGGGCTTCTTGTGCAGCCCACGGCTTTCAGGGAAGCCCGTCATCCCACCTTGCTAAATGGGGAAGTGAATCAGATTCGGAAATGCCAGAGACTTCTTGCATAGTTTAGGCTGAGTGATCTGTTTAAAGAGCTATTTTAGGTAATATTTCATTAACGTTCACTCATTCGTATCTTTTCCTCACAACAATAATTTTGAATATAACAAAAGCTAGCAGGTGGCAGAGCTCCCAAAAGCTGACATGTGGTAACAAATCAAGTGTAATCACAGTGATCATTTTGAGATCTCATCAAGATCTCATCAAAATACAAATCAGGCCTGGGGAACAGAACACGTGGGGCTCCGACTATCATTTATTTTTTCCTTCCGCACAGGATTTAGCAAATATTGCAGCTGTTTCAGTTTTTTTTCCACAGTGTGGCAAGTGCCCTTTGTTGAAGGGTCAGCAAACAGAAAAGATTTCAGTTGTTTTCCTTAAACATGTGGCCTTACATAATTGCTCGGCTTGCTGCTGTGGCTCCACCTCCTCTGTTACGAAACAGGACTCTCTTGTGGAAATGCCAGATTTTTTTTTTCTAGGTGGCCTGCCGGTCTGTGACACTGGCTTGATGAAACACTTCATGGTCTGGAGGCAAGGAGAGCTGCGGAGAATTCCACTTCTCCTTGTAATTTTTTTTTTCCTGAAGTTTATCCTAAGTCTCTCCTAATCCTCTGTCACTCTCTTCTTAAGAAGTCTTTTCTGGCATCTTCTTTGCTTTTCCTCTTTGGCATTTTCTTCTTTTTGGCATTTTCCCACACTTTTTTCGTAGGTTCTCAGACATGCTGGACCATTTCCTGCGTGGCTGCTTTTCCAGCATGTTGTCCACCCTCAACACTGGTAGCCTGGGCTTATGTTCTCACCTGCATTCTGGGCTGGGAAAAATGGCCCAGGTCACTGAAATTGGCTTGTTACCCTTTGGAAGGGCATTTGCCAACCTCTAGAGCTAATGGTGCAGCAATGGACTCGTCGTTTTAAGGAAAATCCAGAAGGAAAGGGAAGAAGGAAATGGCAGATCCTAGGGAAAAGTTGATGTCTTTTCCTCTCTCCTCTCAGAACACATTTCTAGCTATAACATTTTTCTCAAATGAGCAAATTTTCCAAGACCTGCAACCAGAAACACATTTCAGGGCATCACCAAGAACTCACAGCACAGTATTATGTCACCACACGGTGACATTGCGTGATAATGTGGTAATGTTGCAGTGGAGCCTGGGGAGAGCATGAGGCAATGGGGCATCTTTGCATGTGGAGGAATCAGTGCTGGAACATGACGCAAATGTCACGCCATGCTGATGCAATGAGTTTGCCCAGCAGAGCAAATCTTTTAAATTGGCACCAAACCCAGGACTCGATTTTTTTTTTTCATGGACTTTATAATTTCCAGTAGACTAGAAAAAAATTAACAGCTTAAAAAAAAAAAAAAAAAAGTGGTTTTATTTTTTACTTCCACTGCACAAATGCATGAAGCAAATGGCTTTCAAGGCCTGCCCTGAAGTCAAAGCCCCCTGCTTAGAAAATCAAAACCTTCCAGGGAAAATATGAATGCATTATTGAGGCCTCAATGTCAAGTCAAGGCTAATGCAAAGTAAACTTGGAAATGCCTCACATGTTCACGTGCTGCCAAACCTTAGCTCAACTTCAGTCTCACAGTGTTAGAGGGAGGTTTTTGTATCCATGGCAGCTTATGCTGACGTTTTTCTCTTACCTTTTACGAAGAACTGGACTATTCTCTTATATTATGTATACATGAACATTTACAATAGTAAATGTTCTGTGTGTTCTGTATATTTTTTTCTGTGATTATGATTTTTTTTTTTCCATAAAAATCCTTGTATCCCAGTACTCACCATTTGGTGTCAAAAGCTCTTCATTTAGGAGGAGTGTAGGGTATCTTGCACGGATGCAGTGTTTCAGGAAACTCAAGACCTCCAAGTAATTCCAAGGAGTCCAATTCAGGCATGTGCAGGTGAAACTGTCTGCAGTTTGCCGAGTTTCATCCCAAGCTTTTATTCAGTTCTTATTCAATCCTTAGTTAAGCAGAACTGCTGCCATGTTCTGTGCAACTATGGACCAAACAGTACAAATATGAAACCTTCAGGATTTAGCTCAACAATAACGGTGCAGGCTTGAATAGCATCTTACAGTCTGAACACTTTAAAATACTTGGACAAAACAAGGGAAATGAAGTAGATTAAAGCTGTGGTTGTACCTAAGCGTATGGAGTGGTAGATAGTGAAGTCCGCACTGAATTCCATTATGAAAGGGTGAATCACAGGATGAGTAGGGTAGAGAGTAAGAAAATATCCAAACAAAACTTCGTGCTCCGAATATGTGGAAAAACTGCTCAACATCCTCAAGTGGGGAGATATAAAAGGTAAGAAAACAAACCTTTGTCAGGCACTGCTATGGACAAAGTTGTGCCGTGATGAGCTGTCTTGAACAGCTAGGTTCCCTAAGCCCAAGACTTCACTGAGACTCCAGCTTCACTACAAGACTAATTACCGGTGTTAATATCCAGATCTTTTACACATGCATAAATCATTCATAGGAATCTCAGTCTTCATGATTTAGGGCCAGCTCACTGATACGTTTTAAAAAAATCTACTGTGATCAAGAAAAACCTTATGTGGAAGCTAGGCTTGGGTTTGTTTTATCACCTCTTGTAGCAACCAATTTCACACACCAGACTTGTTCTAATGAGAAATCAAGATCCACTGGAGCTGTGAGGGCAAGATGAGACAGAGAACTGCAAGTTGCCACCCGAGCTGGCAGCCTGGTAGTTGGTTCAGTGAATGCCAAGTCCTGCAGCCTTGAACCCCATGTGAACATCCCTGGGCCGAGCCTGCAGAGAGCAAATCAGCAGCTGAACCAGGCTCCACTGCCCACCTGTAACGTAAATGGGCTATCAGGAGGCAGCAACAGCAGAGAGCAAATCAGCGCCTGAGCCAGACCTCCACCACGGCCAAGCGGCCTCGATAAAAGCTAGCTCGTGCGCTGAGCTCGGCCTTTCCTGCAAGGACCACATCAGCCACTCCAATGGCTCAGGACGGAGTGCAGTGCTGTGACTCACAGAAAGACTTTATTTTATCCTCTTACAGTAAAAAGGTTCCTAAAAGGATGGCGTCTCTCTTGGAGCTGAAGGAAATCTTCCGCAACGCCGACGCGGTGTGCTTTGATGTGGACAGTACCGTCATCAGGGAAGAAGGCATCGACGAGCTTGCAAAGTTCTGCGGAGTTGGAGACGCCGTGGCAGAGATGTATGTAGTCCTCATGCTGTTTACTTCATACAGGCAGTAACAGAAAATAATTGTGCATAAGGTTAATCTGTGATAATAGATTTAAAACAGGATTTAGTTTGGCTCAGTGTTTTGGGAGATCATTGTAGATTAAAAGGGATTTTAGGAATGATATGTAGCTTTAATGAATAATAAAGTAGCTTACTTTTTTTTGCATTGTAGAGCTATTGAACAAAATTATACTGAAATCAATACTGTGAAATGAATTTATTTGATAGGCTAAGGTCAGGCCTCATCATCAAACTTGGCAGAGCACTAGCAAACCTGATCTCCTATGGGAGGGGACACATCTGATGACAGCTCTTTGAGGCTGATTTTGTTTCCATTGCAACTTGTAGCAAAAATTCCATTAACTTGAGAGAACATCATCTAGCCTGCAGTTTAGGAATTCTGGTCCCACTGGCTCAGACGGACTCACAAAGCAGCAGTTTTCTTTTGTCTTGCTGGTTCTTAAATGCAGTGACTGTCCTCAGAAATATCAGCAGTCCGAGTCCAAAAAAACTGTCAAGACTGTAGACAAACAAGTACTACTGGTCCTGAGCCTCAGTAATAGCTTCTCTTTGTTAGATTACATAAATCTTTCCACATTTCTAGTCTTTTCTTTCCCATTCTTTTTTTCTTCCCATAATACTGGTTAACTAACTTGAAAATATCATGAGCGCACTGTCCCTTTTTGTGTTCACTAGAACTGGACCTGAACTACGTTAATAAATCTGGCTTAAGTAAAATCCAATTAAATCTGGATCTCTGCCTGTAGTTTAAGGGGGACTTGCAAGTTGGATCTAAGGTGGATAGCTTCAATCTCCCTCAACTGTCTCCTACAAGCAGTTGCCACCAACCTTCTCAGATCACCCATCTCCTGCACAACGTAGACATGGTGTAACCTAGAACCTATGGGGTCTTGAGTAGTTGCCTGGTATTCCTCTTCAGCTAACAGTTCTTGAGAATTCTTGAGCTTCTTAAATGTCACTGATTTGTTTTGTTTGGATCACAATTTAGGACCCGCAGAGCTATGGGTGGCACTGTGACATTCAAGGCAGCTCTAACAGCACGGCTAGGTCTCATACGTCCTTCTTACGAGCAAGTGCAAAAATTAATATCTGACCATCCACCTCAGCTAACACCAGGAATAAGGTAAGAGGAATTTCAAAAGATCTAATGAAAAAGCTTCCAAACCTACACGGTATAAACAAACAAAGCTCTTTGGCATTAGTGAGACTGCGGAGCTGGTTTAGAATCTCTTCCTACTTGATTTTTAAGCCGCGTACAAAGCTCAAGTCAGGAGCTTTTGACGGTCTCAGTACAGACTAAGGAGATAAGCATCCACATAGCGGAAAATAATCTTACGTATTAACAGCCATTGATGCTGCCAAGCTCACATTCCAGCTCAAAGATGGAATGGGCATGGAAAATAATCTGGTCAATCACATTCAGAAGCGATTTTTCCAAGGCTAATAAAACCAGGTGGTTTAATTCAGTACCTTGGGTTGGTCTATTCTGCAATTACAGACCAACCTCCCGCGCTCCTTCATACCTCTGAACTCTGCTTAGGGTTCAAGAGCTACCCATTTTGTACTGAACTCACTAAAAAACTGCTAAAAATCATTAAGGGGAAATACCCACACAGGTTATATATACATACACATTTAAAATATATCTTTATATAATATGTATTTTTTCATCTTTGCTTTTGGAATAAGCATTAGCTATTTCAACTGAAAAGATTTTTCCTATGCAAATTGTTTCAAACAATTCAAAATTGTTGCTTCACTATGAAATCCAGCCACAGTTCTAATTCCATATTTTTAGTTCATACAGTAGTTCTTGGGACTTCTATTTTCTCCTATTTTCCTATGTACTTGCTTACGTTTGCTTACATTTTCTCCTTGAAATGAAGCACATGCTCAGCTTTTTCTGTGGAACGCATAGCTAGAAAGGGGACATTGTTTCCCTTGTTTAGAATCACATGATTTTCCTTTTCATTCCTTCCCTTTCTTCTCCTTCTCTGTGTAGACTGCTTTAAGCCTCCACTTTTTTTTTTCAGTATTTAGCATTTCTGCTTTAACAGCTACTACTTAGCTTTGCTGCATGTCAATGTTTCTGACTGTAGAGCCAGCTCCTTTAGAACTCCTGAGTGCCTTCAAGCCCCACAGACATTAAGTGGGTCTGAAAACTTTTCAGTTGTCCTTCCTTGCTTCCTTTTCTGTTGCTACTGCCATCTTCTAAAGAGATTATTGCTGTCCAGTGTCTTCAGGGATCCATTTCAGAGTTAAGACAATATGTGCATTTTGCAAACATATCAGCCAACTTTTGTAATTTGGTGAAAGTTGCATCTTCCTTACATTACATTTTCTGCATTATAGATTCCTTTTCTGGCTTTAAACATAATTTCATAAGAAAAAAAAAATCTGAACCGGATTTGCTGTCATTTGTTCCAGGGAAATAACGTGAACAAGATGAAGGCATAAAGAAAACATTTCTAGGGCACACTTGTTTCTGAGCAATGAAACACCTATTTGTCTTTGGATATAATATGCTTTTCTTAAGCAAACTGTATGCCTGTCCTAGCAAAGGAAAGGAAAAGCTTCAGGGAGCAGAGCAGGATGGAGCTGGATAGCAGCAGACATCCCAAGTAAACCAGAGTAATGCAGAATAAGGGCAGCCTTGGCTAGGCAAGAGGTCTTTTAGCCTCATTATTCCTTCAGCTTACCTTGAAGCTTGGCACTCACGGCTGGTGGCTGTTCTTCTTGCTAGGGAGTTGGTGAACAGGCTTCATCAGCGAGGGGTCCAAGTCTTCCTGGTCTCCGGGGGATTTCAGAGCATCGTGGAGCACGTGGCCTTGCAGCTAAACATTCCAACTGCAAACGTCTTCGCCAACAGGCTGAAGTTCTACTTTAATGGTGAGATTCATCTCCTGGCTCTTTTCTCTGTTAATTAATGTCATTTTTTGAATTCAAACTGAAGTCATATATCAAGCTACAGTGGCCAAAAAGTCAGACGGGATCTGGGGCTGGCCTTCTGTCCAGAAAATCACTTTGTAACTCCTACAGCTAGTTCTAGTGATGGAAATTGCAAGCCCCCAAAAACATGAGTCCAGGTCACTTGCCAGACATAAGAAAAACACTTCCTAATTGCGAGATGTGCCATAAAGTTTTAAGTATTTCAGTTGCTGACAGCAGAGATTTTCTCTTGGTCTTTCATGTTTAAAGACTTTAAATGTCCATAAATGGACTTAACTTTGCTAACCAACTAAGCACCACTGTGTTTAGTGCAGTTGTTTCCTTTTTAATGTTTTGTGTATTTTTATACATTATATTAAGTGCTGCTTTTGATAGGTTTAGACCAGAATGCCTGGGAATGGATTTGTAATGCTAGACATATGAGGTTTCTATTTGTACATTAGCACTTCAGCTTTTTGAAACTACCTCCACTAATGACTTAGTAAAAATGAGGATTTTACCTACCTTCTAATTAGTTCACTAGGATGTGCTTACATGACTGAATGTACTTAGCTGTATTCTGAAGGAAAGAGACTGTAGGCATCTGTCTTCATTTCCAAGGTGTTTACTGGTATAATTTCCAATACCTGGGTTTTGCTATAAATTCTCTGCAGTAATTACACCCACAGCTGAATTGCCCTTCCACTGTGTTCTAGGAGAGTACGCAGGGTTTGATGAGACACAACCAACTGCAGAATCAGGTGGGAAAGGAAAAGTTATTACTCATCTGAAGGAACAGTTCCACTTTAAAAATGTAGTTATGATCGGAGATGGAGCTACGGACATGGAAGCCTGTCCACCTGCTGTAAGTATTAAAGAATTGTAACTCCCTCTGAGCAGACTGGGGAAGGAAATAATAATAATGATAATAATAATAATGATAATAATAATGATAAAAAGGCTCTTTGAATACTCTTTAGGATTTCAAGGAAGATGTTTAGCACTTTCAGCGACCCAGAGAGATTTCTGTAGGTACTTTTCTCTATAAGGAAAAGCTGTATCATGCAACTGTTGATTTCTCTCTGTCCAGACAATGTCAGGAAGCATTTCACCCCTCTCAGCCAGCTGACAGGGACCAGTAACATGATGTCAAGACAAAATGAGGATACTGGCCATTTGTCTTTCTCTAACCCATTCATTCTCAGATATCCCTGTATATATATGCTCCTGCTCTCTCTTTGTACAATTCACATAGCAGCCAGATACCTTGGCATTCTCTACATAGCAGATCCTTACATATTTGCAACCAGTCTAGCAAACAGTCTCATATTAAGCTGATATCATTGCCTGGCTGCCTTTACTTATGCACCCTCTTTAAGAGCTTTCTTTTTTTCTGCTCAGTGGTCTTAAAGTACCAAGATGCCAGTTCTGAGCATTGATATATGGTGCTTATAGCACGAAGACCCTGGAGACCTTTGGTGCAAACCTACCTAATGGCAGCACAGCAAGACAGTTCATCACACTGTAGAGACAGCAGCCCTGGCAGGGTGGAATAACTGAAGATAATGAATAGAAAGCTACAGAAAGGTCATTTTACAGAGCAAGAGAGCTTATTTCCACCTTATCTGGTGCCTTTCTCTATATAGAGTACTCCAGTGCCCCTACTTTGCCTATGTTGGAGGAAAGATATCCTGTTGCATGGAAATGTACAGGAGCAAGGGCTAAGGGTTATTGCAGACGTGTTATGACAGCAAATCCCTTGGCATTAAACACGTGCACCACCAATACAGCTTAATATTTGCTTAATGCTTTCTACCTGAAGGCCAAAAGCAAGCAGTGGAAATTTTAAGCACTGCACTTTCACTGCAGCTGGTTTTCTAAAATCTGGAAATGAGGACTGTTCCTGGTTAATGATTGAAGACGTGGTTAATGATTGCTTCTGGTATCTATCAAATAAGGTAAACAGGGATAAGATAAACAGTATAGGGATAATTGCGATGTTGCATGGATGTTCAGATGTTAACTCATTCTTAAATATTGAGGATTTACGTTGCATCACAGTTACATCAGATTTTTAGTAAAGTCTTAGATCTGAATGATCTGGATGTTGCAAGGTACTGAGGTGCAACCTTGTGACTAGGACAGAACTTCAATAGTCAAAGTGGTGCAAAATTGAGTGTTAATGAAGTTCTTGGTAATAAATGTGAAAAAACAAACCTGCAAAATAAAATACATTTCTCTGGGAGTGGATGAATGCCGTAATTTTGGAGTTCAATCTAAAAAGCTCCATTTCTTATATGTGACTGCAGTAATATATGTGCCCATTCTTTTTTGCTAGGATTGCTTCATTGGATTTGGAGGGAATGTAATCAGGAAGCAAGTAAAGGAGAAAGCTAAATGGTACATTACTCACTTTGATGAACTACTAAAGGAACTGGAAGAACGATAAATTATACCGTAAAGTAATATATTTAACAACTATAAATACAATTCAATTAAACATATTTGTTTGCAAAGTTGTGTTCTGGATTTTTTTAAATGATTTGGAGATGATAATAATCTTCTCTGACTGGGGACTCAAGATGCAAATGTCCTCATGCTACTGAAATATTCTGTAATGAAAATGCTGAGTTTTTAAAACATCTTTTTCAAGGTGGAAGAGGTCAGTTGATTATTCACCCAAAGCAGGAATATATCAATAAGTTATTAACCCAAGGACTAATCCATTAATGTATTATTAATGGATACCCATTGCTTCAAAATCTTTGGAGCTAATACCCGTATTTATTTTGGGTAGCGAGAAAAGAATAACGGGACCAAAAGAAAGAACTTTGTGTAACCAATAAAAGTAATATAATAACAACAAATAATAAGTATAAAATCTTACAAAGTAAAAAGAAAAAAAAAGTACTTGCCACTCCAAAGAATCTCAATTCTCTGGAATTGTTCAGGTAGGAAATATACTCTTCCGTATTGCTTAGCATCTCTGCTTTCATTAAGATAGGGCTAAAGGAGAACCTAACACGTGACGTTTCTCAGCATCACTGTTTGAGAGCCACAGTCTCAAAGACAGGAAGGGTGCACAAACCTCAGACACGCTCCACTGTTCATTAGAAGCCAAGAAGCATATTGGAAAACTAGTGATACAGTGCTTCCAATATCGCTGCAAAATAACTGCAAGTAACCACAAAATTGTGATTTTTGTTAAAAAAAAAAAAGAAAAAAAAAAAGAAAAAGGCACATTATTTACTTAGGTCTTCTATTTATTTAACAATCCCTGCCCTGTCAACCTGTAACTCGATAGAAGCTGATTCATCCATCTTTACAAACAGATGGTCAAGCGATTAAGAAAACATTGGGAAACACTTTCTTTGCCTCAAGTGTGGGTCAATTACCCTTAAACTGCTTGTGTCAGAAATAGGTCTAACCTGTTCTAAACAAGTACTTCTCTGAGCTCCAGCTAACAAATTCATGTTTTTGAGTGGTTTCTCTTTTGTGGCTGCACCATCTGATGCAAGAGAGACCTTACACAGCATCCACTAAATGCTTCTTTAACAGCAAGTCACTTAAAATGCTCGAGTGTGTCTTTTTAACCAGCTTTGCTCAAGCAAAATGGCACTTCAATCAAGACTTTTATCGCTCAGACTTATAAGAAGGTCACCTGGGATAACATAAAAAGCTTTACTAACATCAGAGTTTATACCACTTCCACTTTATACCACTCTTCCACTTTTTACCACCTATATAACTTGTTACCATTACAGGAGAAAGACTGATTTGTAAGACCATGATCTGTCACATCACACATAGAGATGAATGACAGTTCTCAAAGATGCCTTTTTTTTTTTTTTTGCAAAAGCAGAGACAATAATAATTTCTTCAAGGTACACCAGCATAAAAGTATTTAAATTCTAAAGAAGTAAAATGGATAAAAGAAAAGAAATTCAAACTAAAAAACTTTTCATGGGTTCTTAGAGAAATGCAAACAGATGAACCACATATGGAGAGGCTAAAAAATTTTGTGGAACCAGATGTCAGACTGCTCACCAGGTCTCTTAGTATTAAACATGATCTCCTTTAAATTCTTCCGGAAAAAAATCTCAGCCAGCTCCAAGGCAGCTCATGTACAATAAAGCTTTTGTTTAAGAGTGTATAAGCAGAACAAGTGTAAACACTGTTGGCTTCAGTGTTTCGCTGCTCTCTTTCCAAGATGAAATTATAAAGTTACAGAACAAGTGTTTCTGTTTGCTGTAACTTTCTATTGAATTAAAAGGCCAATATATATATATTTTTAACATCCAACTAATTGGCTATAGCTGTGATTCTACAAAAACTGAGGCATATTTTAAGTATATGTAATTTCACTAATGCAGCAGTGAAAAGCCTATGCACGAGGCTTTGTGCTGCAGAGATGTTAACATTCACCACAGTATCTTGGGTCAGTGTGACTACTATGGAAACATGGCATCACGCCAAAGGTTTCACAAGAGCTCTTTAGGTCTATTTTTTTTTTCTTTTTTTTTTTTTTTTTTAAACAACTTTCATTTGAGCAAATATCAAGCCCTACCTTTGTCCAGGAGGTACCAAAAGGAGTATTTAGCTTAGTGAGCGGCTGAACTCTTCAGTCTTTACAGTGCTGAAGATAGATAAAAAAAAGGGCGATAAAGCATGAGAGGGAAGTTCCAGTGTTAAAGCCAACCTACCAATTTACGTGAACATATCGCAGCCAAGTAAAGCCTGGGGAGTAGTAGCCCTAATCAGGCAGGTAACCACCCAGTCTTCAGTGGGTCTCCTGCCAAGAGGACAAGAAGGCATACTGCTTCACATAAAGGTTTTATTTACTGTAATCCATTCAGGATGGAATATTCAATTGGAATATGTTCATATATTCAATCTGCACGAGGAAACTTATTAAAAGAACATTTTGCAGTCTTCATAGGAAGACCACAGGACAACTCAAAACTGAGTTTTGAAATTCAATTGAAAATCCCATTTCCAACTGGGATTGCTGACAACAAAGAATAAGGTATTCTCTAGATAAGGAATTCTCTAGAAACTATGAACATGCGTGGGTACTAGGAAAGGAGGACTGAAAGCTGATGCTGTCATCTATCATTTCCTTTTTGTAGCCAAACAGCAGTCCAAAAAATACAGAAAAAGAGGTAAATGACAGCACTATTCATGTGGCTGATTTAAAGGAGGAACAGCTTAAATTTAATTAGCCCGCTCTATAAGTTTAGCTGAGAACTTTAAGATAACAAACTTACTCAGTTGACAACATAAAGAATTAAGAGCAAAATATGAAAACAGGCAAGAATGAGATCAAATGTTGACTTTGTTCAAGATAAAATACAAATGTAGATTGTGCTCTAGTGCACTAAGTAAACTGAAATGTCAGGGAAACACTATAAACTCATTTTCAAGAAACACAGCAGAATATTCGGAAACTTTCCTTGACACACAGCAAATATCATTGGCTAATTAAGATGAAATATTTTATGCTATTATTCAGATTTTTTTTGTAGTAAACACTGTGCAAGATGATATAAAACACAGGTGGTGCAATACACATAGGGTGCCAGTAATATGTGAAAATTAAAAGGATTTTATTCACTGATATGTTCTTGCTGAAAACTCACTGAAATGTACAAACTGGACATTCAGTAATAGATTTGTACATTCTGTATTTTACAGACTTTTGTAGCCACTTTGAAGAAAGACTATTACTTTCACTTACAGGATGTTCACATCATTGCAGACACTAAAAGTGCTGATATACTCTAGTCTAAAAGTGAAATCAAAATAGAACTGGACATAATGGTACACTGCTTTATGCCAATTCTACTGACTCAACATGCGCTGGGTTCACACAGCAATTCATAAGTACCTACCGTATAGTTAGTGGAACACCTGACCAAGCATATGTCTGAAGGCATGATTGCTTATGAAATAAAACCCCTTTTCTTAGACTTCTATGCTGTATTTTTTTTTTTTTGGAATACATGTATTTAACTGAACTCAAATGCCTGGAGAATATTCAGACAACCACTTGTTGACAAGCACTTTGTACACTGTGAGTCGTACTTCCATAGTCTGTATATAATTAGACAAAATTAATTTTGGATGTAGACATCTAGGCAAATGTTTGGTTACTTTCAAAAGGCTTCAGAGTCCTTGCAAAAAGGAATGCACTGGTCTCTGCCCATAATCTATCACCTGACTGGCAGATCATCCTTCATTAATAACTGCCTGCTTTCAAGTTTAGAGCTTCTTACGGATTTCAGTCCCACAAAACAGCTGGGTGTATTTTGGAATTACAGAGACATTGCAGCTGGCTCGGGGCTTCAGCGGTCCTATTTTCACAAATCCCCTGTCTTTTAAATCTACAGTTACTGTAATGTTGCACGAAGATCAGAGCCACTGCAATGTTTCTTCCTTTGCTGTTACTGAGTAGCGGGCACTTAAAATCACAAGACACAAAGCACTGTATGTCACATTTAACCTGAGGAGCCTGTCTCACAAAGGAACTTATATATGTCTTTGAACTTGTTTATAGTTATGAAACTTTTAAACTGTAGTCCTACATTTCTTTCCTAAGAACAAAAAAGTCATTAGATTCTGAAGAAAAGAGGTCTCTTTTATAAGCTCAGTACAGTACTTTTATATTTCCGACTATGATATACAATGTATACCATAAATTAATTTAAGACAAATACTTGTAACTTTAATCTATGTAGGCACAAGTAAATCAATGATGTTACTGAAGCGGAGAAATCTTCAATGGTATCATGATTCTGGACTCCATTTCCTGAATAAGGGGCACTGAAAAGGAAATGAGATAGGTTTTAATTTTACTAATAAAGAGCATAAAAATAGTTCTGTACACTCAGTTTGAACAGGTATTATTGTCTTCAAATCACTCTCATAGTTACTGCATGCCAAAACTTCAGTAACCATCAACAATTCCGTAACTGAAGCGTAACAGTTTTGAGAACAAAGGATTTTGTTAATAAAATCTGCTTTGATCCTCTGAACCAAAACAGCTTTTGAAGACAAATATTTCTGTTCCTTTTTTTCCATAATGAAAGCTATCTTACAATTATTCTGGTGTACTTTCTTTGCAATCTATCTTATTTAACCAAAATCTGAAATTGCTAGCATAGTTTTGTGACAGTTTTTTTTTTTGAGAGTCATCTTTGATCTCAAAGATCTTCTGGCTCCAAAGTCTAAGAGACTCCAAAGTCTAATTTGCCTTCTCAAAGGAATTTATTTTAAAGTTCCAGCATCTGATGAAATATTCGAGGTAAAAAATAACCTAATAATAAATGCCACTATTTACTGCCTTTTTTTTTTTTAATAAAACCTTAAATATTTCAAAGATCTGTTCCCTTACAGGACAAGTGCTTTTATAAACATTTACTATTAACATAGCACTTTATCTTAGCTACTAGGTAAGATCTCTTAAGATTGTGCAGTCATGTAGAAAGTTCACTTTACAGCTAAGTGAAAAGTCCCTCTTTCCCTTGCAGATACCCATCCTATTCAAAATTTTTTTAGCACTGTGCGCTATGCACTAAGAAACAAAAACAATGATGCACATAAGGGTCTGTCTCCACCATTCCGATTAAGTTAATCTGTTACCTGTGTAATAGACTAGTTCATCCCAGCCAGGTTTATGCCATGCAGCATTTCTTATATCTTCTCTGGTTTGAAGATCTTTGTAAGCTAGAGAGAGAAAATGACGAGATAAAGTTTGTAACTCTTTTCCTTCTACACATGAACAGCCTCCTTAAAAGCACTGTTATCTGTAACTGGGAGACAGCAAATACAGGGAAGGAAAAAGAGTCAGTTCTTCTCCATAAAAAGGAAAAGCTTCAAAAGCAACACAAATGAAGGAGCTGGGAAAGAGAGAAAAACATACTTTGCTGATGCTGCACTATTTAAGTATCGCATGCTTGGCATATTTTGGGTAGTGGGGGACAAAGGGACATGAAACAGTGCTCTGTGAAGCATTCAACTCTGACTATTTCTGCAAAACCAATAAATTAACAACACCAATAAATGAATGCATATAGTTCCATACAGGGGACAGCAGATTCTTAGTGCTGAAACCTAATTTTCTAAATTCTTGAGATCAGAATATTTTTTCCCTAAATATGGGACAACAAGCTCCGAACGTATGGAAGGCAGCTGCATGTTGGTGGAGCCTAATGTGATAAGAAAACCACAGCAGCATCATGTACTAAGGTCAGTAAATACTTGACTTTCCTCTTTTAACTGTGGTACGTGTGATGCTCGAAACTGAACTGTAGGAAGTTGCCCTCAGCAAAATTCTGCCCAGAAAAACAATGGCAGGATATAATTTATCATGCTTTTGTTATTGAAGGCAAACAAGAAGTAGTCTCTAACAAGAAAGGACTGGGAGGAACTATTGATGGAAATAATGTAAGACAAGAAATGCTCACTTTTGCTTGCTTCAGTTTGGCAAATAAAGCTGCCTACATAAAAATAAGGAAAGCCAACACTGCTCATGTCAAAAAACACTTAAGACATTTTTTGTCTTTTGTAAGAACCTTGTTTCCCACCCAAAGCCAGAAGTCGATTAGGTGCTGACTCAGTGAGAAAGAAAGTAGGGAAGGCAAACAAATTTACCCCAAAGGTGATGAACCATGTAGAGCTGTCCAATCTGTGAGAAGAATCCTCCAACTGCTTCATTACTATCCTGACGAAAACGAATTGCCCGAGCCCTGCAAAAGATCATAGCAACACTTAAAAACTGAAGATTTCTGGGAAGGAAATAGATGACGGTTGATAAGAAAGCGGATGTTAAAAGAAGCATGTATGTTAGAACAGTACCAACAGTATGTGTCAGCAATTAAAAATGCTAAAAACCCATAACAATGATTTGTTGCATGTTGTTTCCACTTAGCAATTATCATATACTCTTGTTAGAATGTGTTAATTGGAGGTGAGGTCTATTGCTTCATTAGAGTGTACGTTAATAATTTGCTTCTTCACATTAGAGACAGTACAATGAAAATTGCTGTAATAGTATGAAGTGGCAGAATGTTTTTACAGCAGATCCTTCCAAAACCAAATCCTTGAGTTCCAGTCATATCATCCTTAGCAGCATTAATTCATCACAGATTTCATGACATTAGAGTGCAGTGTTTTTATTCACATGCACCTTTGTTACGCAGCTGTACTATGTAACACGGTGATGTACTGTGTTAAATATCTCAACTATAAACTATTTGCATCTTCTAAAACAGAACTGCTACCACTGGAGATATATCTAAATTATAAAAATTAAAGATCCAATTTATTGGCAAATTATTGCAATGAAATAAATTATATTGATGACAATTACATATCTAAAAAAATCCAAATAATTTAGTATCAATTAGGACTGCATGGATTTACAGAATGTAAACTGAAAAACTTACACTGGTTTTAAACAAGACAAAATCTGAGGCATATACTGAAGAGAAGACCATCTTAAATGCTTTTAACCTATATATTAAAATAAAAATACGATGCTCAACAGTTTCCAAGGAAAAGTTTAACTTTAAAAGATTAACAGAGCTAAGATTTAGGCTATGTAAACCAAAAGTCAGCCAGCTTCTAACAGTGAGGGAATGGTGAAAGATCAACATAATCTTAAGGAATTAACTTTCTCCCTTTAGTGAGCACGGCTGCCTACTGAAAACAAAGATTATCAAGGTCTCTGCTACATGACATCGAACTTAAAAGGGTTATGAAAAGGGAAGCCAAGCCAGAGCACAGAGAATTGTTTGAATACAGAAATCCTCTTTCCTTCCTCAAAGCATATATTGAGGATCATTTTACAAGTTATCCCAGAGCAGGAGAACGCCATTAACTGGGCGACTGAAATCCTTTGGTATCTTTCTGCCATTTCCATGTTATAGATTTTCAAACATATATCTCTCAAATAAGAGAACATATGTGGTAAAGCAGGACTTACCAGTAATTTCCCCACTCAATCATTGTTCCAGGCTACAAAAAAAAAGAGACTCTTAAAACTGTGGTTGGAATGAAGTTAAAATATTTCAACAGTTTTCGCATTTACATATGGAGAACACTACTTGTTATCAAAATTGCTTCCTTCAAAAGATAAGTATAATAATGTATAATTACTATGTTTATTTACTATAGTACTTCTTAGTCATTTGCCTGAAGTTATCTCATACAAACACAGAATATTCAGCCCTTCCTAAGAGATATTAGAGATCTTGTTGGAGCTTGCCTTTCAACCCCACACATCAACTCTGCCATCAACTTTGATAAGAAGCATATTTTTAAGATGAGGCTTGTTTTCCATCTACATTGTATAAACACAGTTTGAAGATTTTAAAATAGTATTTTGTCTACAAAATAAAAAATAAAAATTTAAAATTTAAACTTACTCGAAGTTGATAGGATCTTAGTTCATAAATGTTGGGCCCCGCCCTGGGAACAGGTTCATTCCAGAAACTAAACTCCAACAATAATTGGTTCTTCCGAGAGAGAAGCATGTTACCTCTTTCTTTGCGAAACTCTGTGAATTCCTTAAAACAAGGTGACCATTATTATAAAACTTTGTATTACCGATCTACAACATAGAGCAGTTCAGATTTTTCAATGCTATATTCAAGATTTGGATATCCAAATGCTTCTAATTTTATAGAAATCTAGATTCCCTGAGCATCTTTGAAATTTTCAGCTGGTATTGCTTACACAACACTCGACAATCTACAAGTACTTCACAAAATATTCATAATATCTGAATTTAAGAATAATCCCTTTTCCAAAGAGGTGGTCTAAGGTTGTACAGCAAGTGATGAGATACAGAAGTAAAAACAAGTGTCCAAATTTCCATTTTTTTTGCTGTGATTATTCTATGTTCTAAGTAAATCAGCTATTTCTAACAAAGGTATCAAAAAATTCCTGCATTTTACCTTATTTTGTCGGAGTTTACTCATGACCTCATTGAGAGCTGGATAGCCTCCCTCATACCTCCAGAGATGAACTAAAACGTAAAAAGGAAGCTTCTTCAGAAACGGTGTGTACTGGTACTAAAACTATGGAGTATCACAGTACAAAAGACTCTTCATGCTACAGAATTGTACAAAAACAGAAACCTGGTAATAGGTTCAAATATGCATTTTAATTAAATAAAGCACTTCACATTTATCCATTTTAAGAATAATGGAATAATTTGGGTTTTAAAAGGGTTTTCTTAGAGAATTTTGCAATTTGCTCTAAAAGGAATAGTTCTGAAAGGAACTTTTGTTGCCATGCTAATAAGATGTGATGAATTTAGATAACTGTACTTGAATTTGAGATTCAATTTAAGAGAGTGACTTAATACCAAAGATCTGCTTTATACCAATTTCACGTGAGAGGAATAGACTGGCAGAATTTTTAGTTCAACAAATTACTCAAGAAAAGAGCATAACATAACTTCTGATACATGAAATATGACACAGATGTTATTTTTAGATAAAATAAATAAAAAAAGCAAACAAAAAAAATCTAAGCATGCTAGAATGGTTATATATGCTAATATTTTCCTCGCTAAACAATTTCAAAATAGGTTTTTGATACGCTTTTCAAAGCATTTTGTATAACAAGATTTATTTACAAGCACTTAATATAGCAAGGCAACAATATTTCATCTTCAAATCTCCTTCTATCCTTTTCTTGAAGACTCACAAAACCTATTTCCTCTCATATAAAGAAGTTAATGCTGTTTTGTGCCTTTACCAGGAAAGCAAACTGGAGACTAATGCAAAACCTTTCATTATTAGAGTGGATTCATCCAGGGTATCTGCTGCTGCTAATCCCCAGGACAAATACAATATATCCAGCTATTAACCAGCCTGGGCACAAGCACTGTGCAAGTCAAAATCCCTTAGTCTACATTATTAGGCTGCTAGAACAGTTGCTGCAGCATTTACAAGGCAGGTTATTGATGCAATTACAGATACAGTGTGCGTTAATACATTATAAAAACAACAAATGAGGCTTGGCTAATATATTTTCATTTCAACTACCTTCGGTTCTCAATTTCCTTTCAACTTTTAAGAACTGTTTCTCAGACAATGTTCTGTTTCTCTAGTGCCATTTCCTCACATTTGTTCAGGGTCAATATTGCAACATTCTATGAATGCAGTAGAAATTAATGCATATACTTCAATAGCGAAGCAGCAACCTTGATATTAGCAAAGCTCTAACAACAGAGTCTCTTCTGTAGAACAGGCATCAGCACTTCACTCAACATTTGTGGCTTCCCACAAATTTCCCACAGTCTTGGATATTTTTTCAGGTTTTCTATCTACATTAGGCACTTCTGTAGTTACTTCTGCAGCAGCCTTTCTATAATTTCCAGTTTAGGATATTTTCACTCTGGGTAATTAGGCAGTATCTTTATATGAACATGAGCAGAAATGCTTTATTTTCCATCAGTAAAGGTTTTAATTATTTAGTTAGAGTGCAGTCACTTTTTCAGATGGTGTGAATGATTTCCATTGCATTATCATTGAGCAATTACAGCATGGAAATCTGAGCACATGTTTCATATTGGCCAATACAAGTTAATTTGTGTTGGTGAGTCTTTGGCCTAAATATTCAGTAACACAATATGCAGCTGCAAAATATCAGGAACAGATTTTACAAGGGGTTTCAAAAGCTGTTAATCTATCCCAAGGAAGACACAAAAGTGTTTTAACAACAGGACAAATTTTAGGAATTAATACTTTGCTGTCAAACTCAACAAGACAAAAAGCAAACACGGTCAGTATTAAAGACTACCGGTAACCGATGCACACACATCCTCACTGTATACATTGCGGCAAAGGTTCACTATCAACAGAGATGATTTAAAGAGAAGAAACCTGCCAAGCATGTTTCACTTGTATGGTTTAAATTCTGTTGTACTTCTATCTCCTACCAGCCTGATCTTGCTCTCCGTACCACGTGTTCCAAGTCCCCACCAGTGCACATGGGTAGTGTTTTTCTTCATGAATCTTTGGCAGCACCTCTTGACTTAAAAACAAGGAATACAGACACTATATTGCATTTCCTTCAGGGAGGCTACAGTTGATATGTATAACAAATCACCACAGGTTCATCATTATGGTACAAAAATTCACAAAGTTCTACTTTCAGAATAGAAAGCCGAAATACACAAGTCTGCTACCCAAGGGAATAGACATTCATAATACTACATAAAATTAATGTGTATTAAACTACGAAAAATACACAGTATGGCACAATTCTTTTGATGCAATAAATTATGTGATGTCATCTAATCTGATACATAAGAAAAACAAATATTGGGATGTCTCAGAGGAAGTGCATCCTATCTGCACTTGCTATAGTAAACTGTAATCTTTATTAAGAGGCAAAATATGCAAAGTAGGAGAGTGTTTTGTACCAGTTACAGTGCTGTAACTTTGTTGTGCCAGGTGCATAAAAACAAGTATTTTGATGGATATGAATATGAGCAAATGATAATTTTACTTTGCAGTATGCAGTCTTGATGCCTTTTACCATTTAAAAGAGCAGAGGTAGTTTGAAGCAGCTTATCCATTAAAGAATAAAGTGAAACTGCTCTAAAAATATTGTCAAAACAAAATTTCTGAACAACTATTTCCAATATTTCTGTTTTTTAAAACTTTAAAGGTGAACTACATTAAGAAATTACGGTTTACCAAATGTTAAGTTGGTTAAGACAGCTTTCACTGCACTTCACTCCTCTGTTCCTCTTGTTGAACTTTGCCTTTTAGTATTTTTCCCTTGATTCCTACTTTTAATCATCTTGACTCATAGGCAAAGTGTCTTTGCGTCATATCAAATATTACGAAGTAGGCTGTTCTTCTGTTTGGGAGTCAGGATATAGGAATCTTCCTCTTGGTTCTGCCACTGACTTTCTGGATGACCTTGAGCAAATCTCATTACTAGCTTGTACCTCAATATTTCTGGTTACGGAACAACGGAAATAACAAGATAGAATGACTCTCCAAGGATGTTTTCGGTAACCATGAGTTCATTTTTTGCAAAGCATAATGAGATGCTAGAAAAGCAGCCTGAACACTAAAGCTAAATTATTACTGTAATAATCCTAAATATATATATATATACACACACACATATATATTTTAAACCAAACAATACCTGATAATTCTTAGATATGAACAGTACTTTTTTGCCTTTTATAAAAAACTGGTTCCTAATTCTTCAGAAGGGAGTCTTTAACTCATTAATTCATGAACTACTTTCACAACACTCTTTATTACATTGTTTCTTTGTTACTACATAATAGCTAAATCTTATTCTGATTTGATGTAAAATAAGGAGTTTACTTCCTCATGTTTAATTTAGGGAGAGGAATGAGAGAAGTTTATATACTCTTCAATCTTTATTATCCCATTCTTAAGTTTCCTCCTTCCATCAATACTTTGGTTTGGAATGAACAAATCAAATCCCACATATTTTATCTGAATCTCTCTTTTTCTGTGTCTTTTTCCTTGAAAATAAAAGCCTCTGCCCTCACTCAGCATTTCAGTAGCTCACAAGATGCTGCTGTAATGTCTTTCTCTGTTTTGTGTAATTGGACATGTTTATACTAAGCCTTTAAACAGAAATCCAATTGAACACTAATTGTACTTTTCTGTGTGTATATATATGTATATATATATTTTTTAAACAGAAAAGTTAAAAATAACTTACATCTGGAAACAATTCAGCCAATTTTGTAAATTTGTATAGTAAGGAACCTAGTTTTTGGTTATCTATTCCCATTTCAATGTTGTACACATTAAAGCACAGAGATATTAGACAAACTGCTCATGGCTGTACTATGCACCAGTAACAGAGCTGAAAAATTTGGAGGTGTGAACTTCTTCCCTACCCTCCAGCCTAGCTGGCGTTCTAGTCAATACACCACAATTAAATGACTGGTTACAAGACGAGATCATTATGCTAAGAATCCTTGACTGACAACACAATCACTGTCAGTAAGACAGTGCTGTTCAGAAACACACGAGACTCGTTATATTTTCAAAACAAAGTATTTGGGTCTTTAATACAGCAGTTGTTTGGCTCTGAAGTACAGTTCAGAATTAATGTTTCAGCATTCTACTATTTATATTAGTAAATACAAAATTTTACTATTTGCATATTCTGGAACTTGAAACTGTTTTGGAAATTCCATATAGCACCACTCTCTTTAGAGGGTACTACCCCAACGCAAAGATCCTATCCAATAATTTGCACATCTCTTTAAGGGTAGATCTCAGTAACATCATTGTGTAGAAAGAAGATCTGGATGAGCTGAGTAACAGTCAAATCCAGGGTTGCTAAAATCTCTTCCAAACCCTATTTGTATTTAATACTGGCACATGATTTTACTTCTGATTTACTTACTATTCCTTTTCTTTCTGTATACACAATGACTCCCACTCTCCCACCTGCAACAAATCCCTACATCTCATTTGGGGGGGCAAGGGAGGGAATGCCAGCACACCAGCATCTCCCCATGTGGAGCAGCAATGGAAAGACAGGCAGGAGATGGGAGAAAGCTGTTCCAGCAAACTCCGCCTGCGCCTCCACAAAAACCACCACTGCAAAGTGCTAAGAAAGCAGCACTTTCAAGAGGGGAGACAGGGTAAACTGAGTAAAATACCTATGCCATCCTTCTCAAAACAAACAAACAAATAAAACTATTTACTACTGTAGTCTGTAAGTAAAGGTAGATTTTTTCCACTTCCCCTCTGAACAACTACGCTATCTGTCAATTTTCAGAACAGCTTGTGATCAAATCAACAGGTCTAAAATGTGAAAATGTAACATCCACACTTACCAAAGCTTGTTGTAGGCATCTAGACATTCTGGTTTTACATTGTGAACTGAAACAACAACATGAGATGAAAAATGCAATAACAGGATAAAGAAATGAAAATGTTAAATATAAGAAGATCACTCACTCTGTAGTTTATACAGACTGCTGGTCTCCCTTTTGGCTAGAAGGTTGGAGTGAGCATCTTTCCTTGGATCAACTTTGCGAACAAATAGCGATTTTAACCAACTGTCTTCACGAGGTCTGCTAGCTGATGATACCAGCCCCCTACACATTAACAAGTACATTACACTGTCACTGAGTGGGTCTTGAAAATGCCCACAACGCAGGAAAGATGGGCAAGATCAAGTCAATACAAACAGAGTGATAACACAGAGTTACACACAGGGCCGTTGCTAAATTTTTCCATTGATCCACTTGCTAGTAATATAAAGGCAGTTCTTTCCCCACAGAGCTTTACCCTTTAAAAATCTTTTAATGTGACAGAAGCAAAGTTGACCATACACTATCCACTTTTAATCTTTGCGAGCATGCCAGGGAACAGATGGATGGCTGTTTTTTTGCCTATTTCTTTTGTCTTTAACCAAGTGTTCTTGCTCAAGGAAGCGGGATCTGTCTTGCTGTATACAACCAAGAGTGAAAAAGAGCAAAATGACAGTGTATATAAGGAAAGATTTATATAGTGTAAATAGGCAAGTACCATATGTTCCTGTGTTTACTTAAACACAGTTCTGAAAGGAAAAGTTAAGATATCTTTCAAGAAAAAGAAATGTATACCAAAGCCTTATTTGGGAAGAATTATGAGTTGCAGGAAATAAGCCACCTGCCAATATTCCAAATTGTGGTAATTATACTGGGTATGGATACAGATCCACTTTCTTTGAACAATATCCATTTCCCCCAACTTTGAAACAGGATTTCATGTACTTTCTTTTTTTAACTTCTTTATGGAGCTTCTACAAATACCTTTTTCAAAATAATACACTTCCCTGCAAGCCACAGGGTATCCCAAACATTACAGCTGACGACTGTGGTCTCTGTTGGAGGAATTACTCTTCCTTTTTCCAACTGGCAGAAAATCAATTACCAGAAATTAATTTATTAAATTAACTCTCTACAAAGCTTGACAGGTGACCCCAATCTCAAAGGCAACAGGGATTCTGCTGGACCTCAGAAATCCTAAAAATATGGCATTACAGCTGGAGATTTAAACCTACTCCTGCCTCAGGAGTCAACTCTTCATCCTTAATTACTGCCTAGGAGATCCAGAAAACAGGCATTAACCTCCAGCTATAAACCTGTCCTTCGGGTTACCAAGTTTGAGGAAAAAAATAGAAGAAAATCTCAGGTTCTTTTGGAAAAAATACCTTTATGGACATGCCTGTCTACATTACACAAAAACAGTTCATTAACTATCTGTTTTAACAGTCAATCTTTTAGTTTCAATGTCTGGAAAAAAAACATAAAAGAACTGGTTTACATTGAGGAAGCAGAATGGAAAGAAAGAATATTCCTAACTAAAGGAATAAAAAGAACCATAAAAACAAACACAGATGAGATGACCTTCAACATTAAGAAACACCTGATAAACATCTTATTGGTGTATTAATTGCAATTTTCTTTGGCTCCAGGCAAATATATAGATGTGTTTACTATGCTGAAAGCTGAACAGTCTTTTCCCAAGATAAGAATTTAAAAGGGTATTCTCTGATGAGGGTCTTGCCAGAATGGAGGGTATGCAGTGACTTGGAGCAGATGCATCCCTGATGCCAGGTGACTGCGTGTTGGCCCAGCTGCATCAGACACCACAGGAACATGCTGCCCCAGCTGATGCCGAATTGGGGAGAGGGCAAATCTCACCTAAAAACATATGCACAAAAGAGAAGGGTAACAGCTGGAGTTTTTTAACACAGACATGCACCTTGTTGTTTGGGGTCCTAGGGCCTTGTTTCTAACCACTATATCCTCTGAGAAGTACCACACTAATGCTAAATACACTTTTTTCCAACTGCCATTCATAAGCATCATTCACAAATCTGCACACTTTTATGCAAACAAAACAGCATTTTCCATCACTCAGATGGCTTACTTTTAACTAACTTCTTACCATTATGCTCCACAATATTATAATACACGTTCCAAGCAGAGCAGATATTGGATGCAAACTATGTGAATGTTGCTAATGTAAATACAAACATATGCAGAGAGACATGCTATATGGAATTAATATCACACTTCAAATTTTTTATTTTCTGGGAATAATACTTATTAGAGGAGAGTCTTCACAAAATCTTCTAACTGTTTCACTTTGCTAGGAGGACCTTCTCCCAAAAATACTTAACTATGGGCTTCGTTTTATCATGCAGCTTTTTCAGAATCAGATCCTGTAGTTGTACCTGATACAACAGTTGAAATGGGTTTGTGAAGATGGTGCAGAGAAACTGCAACAATTAGGTGAAGTAAGTCCACATTTCAAAAAAGCTGCTGTCATCTTCTCTGTGTTATTTCAAAATATGGGAAGAAAAAGTCAATACTTAATTACTAGGGGAAAATAAAAAGGTAAAAGCTTTTTAAATAGTTGTGCCTTAACTGTTCCTCTGACACTTTCATCTAACAAAAGATGGACATTGTGACTTTGAAAACCAAAGTTTACCCTTTCTGCTTTTAATTTATATAGACTATTGACAGGCTGATCCATTTCTCCTAAGTTTCTGCCCCAGAACCTGGCACAATGCTACAAATGGGTTGCAAACAGTACAAATGCTACACTGGCTTGTAAATACAAAACAGGAACATTGGACAGTTCACTTATTTTGAGACTAAGAATGCTGGTGAAAACAGTTCTATCCCACTTAACCTCTGCTTTAACACAAAAAATTGGGTGGAATGGGAGGTACCAGGTGAAACATTTAATTTTGTAGTAACCCATGTCTGGCTGGAAGAATAAAATAAAAAAAAGAAAAAAAGAAAAAAAAAAAGAACTTGTCTATAAACTGACAGTTCTAAACAAAAGTCAAAGCTTATTTCAGAGGAAAACACCCAGGGTCACAGAACCTCGGGCACTCCTTCTCCACACACCCTTCCCGCTCCACGGGGCTGCCTGCAGAGCTCATCCCTGGCGCCTCGCACAGCGGCTGCTGCCCCTGCCACACAGCAGCTTTGCCCATTTTAAGAGGGAGGAGGAACACCGGGAGCCGCTCCATCCCCTTCCAGCTCCTCAGCACCCAGAGGACACACGGCGCGTTGGCTCCGAGGGCCGCACACCCGTGCCCGGACACCCGGCGTCGGTGCGGGCCGCGCCGCGGCCTTGGCCCGTGTGTGCCCCTCGGGGCGACAGGCAGAGGCGAGAGCCGGCCCGGGGGCGCGCACAGGCACAGCGCAACACCCGGAGGAAGGGCCGCGCAGGGAGTGCGCGTGGCGCGGCGCCCCGCGGGTGCTCACCGCGCCGCCGGGACACCCACGCACCGGGAGGCGAGCGCAGGGGGTGTCCGCGGCAGGCGGCGGCGGGGCGGGGGGCTGGCCTTGCGGCCCGTGACCTTGAGGGAGAGGCAGCGCCGCGGCCGGGCCCGCCCGCGGGGAGCGGGGCGCCATTTCCAGTGAGGAGCGGGGCCCGAGCGAGATGGCGTGGGGAGGGAGAGGGGTTGTGGAAGGCAAGGGAGCGGCCGCGGGGACAGGCTGCGGCCGCCCCCTCGGCCCGGGGCTCACCTGAGGGCCAGGCCGGCGGGCGGGAGGCGCGGCCCGGCGCCGGCCCCCGCCGCGCTCCGCCGCAGCAGCACTCGCGCCGCCATCTTGCTCGCGCCGCCTCCCTCCGCCGTCTGCCCGCGGCCCGGGGTCGGGGGGGGGGAGGAAAGTGGGGGGCGCCACTACGCAGCCGCCGGCCGCTAGGGGCGCGCTGGCGCCGCTGCGCATGCGCCCTTCTGCTGCGACCCCCCACCCCCGGGCCGGTCTGAGGTGGCCTCGGTTACCTTAGAGCGCAATTAGAGGTTAAATCGCCTTGGAATGGGGATGCAGTTCATTAACCAGGGAGGAAACCCCTCCGCTGTGCTGCTTAGTTGATAGGACACTCCCTTGCAACCCAAGGACTGGGCTTGGCTTCCTTTATTGCTTGAACATCTTCCTTCTCTGCTTGGACACTATTTTTTTGGTATTTCGTCTCTGTATTTCACATTTTCTGCTGCCCAGGGCAGTGTTCTACACAGGACTCTTCTCTCATTCTCTGCTAGAGATGAAGTTCCATATGTTGGAATGAGATTTTATTCCACGTCAGTGGAAACTACCAAAAATCTGCATAAACCATCTCAGCACGGGCAGATCAACAAGAATAATCTAAAGAGTAATCTAAATTCCAATCTTTGCCATCAGGACAGCTGAAATTGCCATTGTGTGCATCTGGAGAAACAGAAATAACATTCTTACGACAGTGAAAAGTAACTGCGCTCACTAATGACAATAGAGTGGTTCAGTTCCCTCCTTAACTTCAAGTCATCAGCAGAGAAATTCTATTTAGAAATTTCTTGTTCTTTTTTTTTTTCTTCATCTTAAGCAAAGAGCAGTGACACCAGTAAATACACAGCTCTTCACACAGGGTTCCTCACAAGCTTTGATATACCTGCTCTTCTCCATTCAGGAGGCAATGCTGTATTTTGACACAAATTCCCTTTAAATCTGAATACAGAACCAACCAAGTCAGCTACATGAGGCTGCTGTAATGGTAGCACCCGCTCAGCTTACATCTGGCAAAATGGGATACACAATCCCCAGATCTGCCTCAGGATAAAGTAACCTAATCATTAACCCCTGTGGCCTTACTGTTTTATATTACAGCATTCAGCAAATCAGTACCTGTACCTCTAATGTGTTGCTTTAATTAGCTCTTCTGATGAGAATAAATCTAAGCATATTTACTTTCATTTTTCAGCTTTGCATTCTCATTACATATTTCCTGATGGTAGTTCAAAAGGTCCTGCTCTCCTTAAACTGAATATTCTTTGCACAAGTTACTTGCTTGTAAAGGAAACACTTTTTTTTCCCCTCCTGAGAAAAGTGCATCAATCCAGCAGTTTATGGGAGCCAGTAACATGAGTTCTTAATTTGTCATCCCCAACTGGGGCAGCTTAGCGAAAACTTCATAGATTTCTTCCCACAAAGGGAACTATGCTAAGCTCTCCAAAGTTGATAATAGCAGTAAAGTGTAAATATTTAAAGGCAAATGATTGTGTTCCTCTTAAGAGATTGTGGAAGTTGTAAAATACAACCATATGGTTTAAATGACTAAGGAAATAAGGACACGTAAGTAGTTGGCTTTAAGATTTGTACATTTCCTTTGAAAAGTTTTAATAGCATTGTTTTAAGTATACCAACCAAACAAAGACTGCCTGAAATACAGAACAAATACAGACTTTCCCTCCCCCCCGCAATTTAAACATTATATAGTTATGTTCTTTATTTCTCAATAGAGAAGAGCCATTCTAAGTGAACAGCTGACATCTGAAACTATCAAGAACTTGGAAAAACTACATGCAAGAAGAGGAAGTGTTAACTCAACACTTAACTGACATTTTCTCTATTTTCATTAGAAACTTGAGGAGTTCAACTTTAACATCCAGTTTTAGAAGAACTATATTTACTATTTATTGTGACTCCAAAGATCATTAGAACATGTTACATACAACAACTGGGCCCCAAATGCCCCTCCCACAGATCAGTCAAAAGCCTTCCAAGTGTTTTCCTTCTATTTATCTGTTGAACAAACTTTAAGTTCCTGGAGTTTTTCACTTAAATAGGTAGTATCTGCCTCTGTCAGATTTTCTGAATCTGACAAATTTTCAAGGAACCTGGTTCCTGCACAGGGTTTTCCTGTTATTGGATCTATGACATTTCCAACCTTGAAAACAATTTCAGCCAGTTCATGTTTCACATGCTTGCTCCTCCTCTCAGGCAAAGCTTTCAGAAGAACAATGTCTCCAACAACACACTGCTGCAATGGGTCATGGGCAAAATACGTTTTTCGCTTGTTGAAGAACTGTGGAAGAAAAAGCAAATCTTGGCATTAGGTTTCAAAATAAAGCAGTGGCAAATATTTTTAATAAAAAAATAAACCAAGTTTCTCTAGTGAGAAGTAGTTCTGCTTATGCTTATTTGCTTTTGATTTTCTGAGGAGCTCAAGTGTGGACTGTGAAGAAAAATGCAACTGTGCAGTTTTTTCCTCTCAAAGGAAGCACAGCATTACCACCCCCTCCTGATTTGTATGTTATTGCTAACAAGAGTTTGTGGAAAAGGAAGGAAGAGGACAAAGGCACAAGCTACTGCTAAACAGGTGGTTACCAACAAAGATGAGCTCTTCTAGCATCACCACTGTCCATCAACCTCTCTGCTATAGTTTTGTTCTGCCATTTTAGCCTTCTCTTTCTCCTTAGGATACTCCACTTCCGCTGAATAATCTGACTTTCCTCAATAGTTTCTACTTCAAGAGCCAGTATCAGTTCTCATTTATACTACCCTTCTTAAGACTTATTACCCCACATTTGTTTTTGCACCAAAGTTTGTCTTTTTTTTTCAAGTTTTCTTGCTCAATTCATTTCCTTTCATGCAATTGTAATATGTTTACTTTTATTGACACCACAGGATTCAGAATCAAGAAGTTCTTCTATTGGATACAGTTTTGAACAAGGATTCACTAGATACAGTATTGCAGGGCCTACTAGAACCCCACTTGACCCTCAGCTGTTTGGTTACCAAGGGCAAGTTATTTCACCCACCTGTGCTATAGCCTTCCCACCTAAAAGAGAGGAAGTATTATTTTTAACTTCCCTATTTGACATGTATTGACAAATTGGAAGTGCAAGGCTCTTCTAGCACATAATAGTAGAAGTGGAAATACATAAGATTTAAGTATACTCATAATTATGCATACATGAAAGAAAGCCTACATTCCCAATTCCCAATGCACTAAACATTTTGAAGAAACACTTAGCAGACAATCTTAGAATTGACAACACTTCATCTTTCACAGTCATCCCTATAACTAAATCATTAACCAAGCCCCTTAAGAAGCTTACAATATAAAAAGCTATTAAAAATTCAAATAGTCAAAGCAATTAAACATTTTCCCATGCAGAATACAAAGCTTATCTTGTAAAACAAAGTGCTAGTCACTGTTTACCTTTAGCAAGTAAGGATCTAGCACCAGTCTGGTCACTCTGACTTTAGCAGTTTTCTGCATTTTGGTTCCTATTACTTTCCCTACTATCCATTTTGCATGGACAGCTCCACGTGGTACAGACATCATTTAGGTAGGATCATCCAGTGCCTGGCAACAAGTAAACATATATATTTTAACAAAAAAAATGAAGTTCTGATCAACAGCAGAGTTTCAGTTTCAAGATAAATTAATTATATCATTTCTTGGCAGGAGGGGGGAAGGCTATTTACAAACAGTTCAAACTTTGCTATGCTGCACTAACTCAGTTGTGCCTTAAAGGTATAATGAGAAGAGATACACACATGCAACTATAGGAGGAAAAGTTACTTTAGGCTGGCACTAATAATTGAAATAATAGTTTGAGCCCTTATTCCCTATAAACCACAATATTCATCCAAAACACACCTTCTTACATAAAAGAAATAAACTGAGAAAATCATTAAAAAAGTGAAGTCATGTTCCTACAGCTCATGTTGTCAAGCAGCTCCATGTGCAAAGAGTTAACCCAAACAGAAAACAAAAGGAACTGGTAAAGCAAGTTATAAATTGGACTTTGAAGAGCCACCTGCTTTTGTGAATACCAGAACTACCAGCTTGAATACTGAAACCCAAGGAAGGCAATAAAACCCCCAAAATGTACTTGAGACACCAAAGAGCTACTTTCAGTGCAAGGAACTACAGTGATAAGCTATTAGCTGGGCCTGAACAGGGAGAGCTTTCTGTCACCCTTATAAAGTTTAGGATTAAAGCAGATAGCTGAAAGTCATAAAAATAATTATAAATTAAGCATTAAACGAGCGACTGTTATTGTCCATTCTCCCCGCTATCTAGGGTCATGTCAGCAGCTCCAGACCAGGCCCAGGGCGATGACACCCACCCCGTTATCAACGCAGCGCACCCACGGGAGCGGATGACGGTTTCCCCGGCGGGGCCTGTCCCCAGCTGGGCAGGACCAAAACCCTCCTCTAGTGCGGGTCGATAGGGCAGGATCCCCCACAACGGGGAGCGCGGCGGGTCCGGGGCTGCCTGGGCCTCTCCCCCCTTCCCTTCCCTTCCCTGGCGCCATCCCCACCGGCGGAACAACCCCCCACACCGACAGCCCCGCTCACCGCCGCCACGGCGCCTCACGGGCCTTAAAGAAGCGCAGGCGGAAGGGGCGGAGCCCCGGGCGGNNGCCCCGCCCCTAGCTCGTGGCCCCGCCCCCAGCTACCAAACAAGGGGGCCCCGCCCATCACTGTCGCCTGCTCCGAGCCCCGCCCCCAGCTCGTGGCCCCGCCCAGCGGCACCCCTGCCAGCGCCAAGGGCACCGTGACCGCGCGGGAGGCCCCGCCCCCGGGCGAGCCCTCCAATCACAACGCGCGGCGCACGCGCCGACCGGAGTTCACGTGACGCTTTAATGGGCGGGGCCGGCACTTGGGGCAGCGCTGGAGGCGCTGGGCGTGGCGGCCGCGCTGGGGGCGTGTCCGCCGGCGGCGTTGGGGGCGTGTCCGGCGGCGACGCGGGGGCGGGGAGGGAGGCGTGGCCGGCGGCGACGCGGGGGCGTGGCCATGGCGCGAGGGTTTAAAGGCGCAGGCACCGCGCAGAGCCCGGCTCTTGCTCCCTGTTCTCTTCTCTGGGTGTGGGTGCTGGGTGGCCTTGCTGGCAGGTTAACGCAGCTGGTTTTGGGTCGTAAGCGTGTGAAATGGCTAAAAATGAAGTGCGGGGCCCTGTTCTTGAGGCTGTGCTCTCCACGTCTGCCCAACAGGGGCCCTGTTAGTGGCTTCTTGGTGGTGCGGGAAGGCCGAGGGCCTGAGCTGTCTCCCCTCAGGGGGACCTGCAGCCCAGTCCCCCTGTGCGGCACCTGGGTCCCCTTCTGGTGCCCGTGAGCGCCTGGGGCCGGCCCTGCCCGCATGGGGGGGTCCTCTGGGCGGGTGGCCGGGTCCAGGGTGAGGAGGGAGGCGGCCCTTGCACCCGGCTTCACCCCATGGAGGGCTCGGAGGGCCCTCCGAGCCCTCCATGGGGTGAAGCCGGGTGCAAGGGCCGCTTCCCTCCCCTCACGGAGGGCTCAGCGCCACCCATCCCCACAGGGATGAACCGCGTGCTCCACGCGGTCCAAGATGGATGGACGGGCTAAACTATCCTTGCCCTCGCTGGTGTAAACTCAGCTTAAGTCTACGCCTAAAATCCATCTCTAGAGAAGCTTTCAAGCTGAAGAGGGGCAAAAAGAGGCAGTCCCGTGACGTTCGAGCTGCCAGGTGCTGGTGCTTGCTCCCCAGGCTGCAGCCTGGGGCTAGATTTGCATCCTTTTAAGCTGTGTTTAATCATATATCTTTATTTTCATAGGCAAACGTTTGGGTTGCTGCCTTTTTTTCCCTCAGGCTTGTTTTCTTTCTGAGTTACTCTCCCCTCCTCTGTCACCACAGGAAGAAGGCAGGTAGGGAATCGCCTTTGCTCAGTGGGACAACCCGGAGCAGCCTGGCTGTTTAAGGTGGCCGAGTACAGCGAGAACAGAGCGCGCTTTGTACCTCACGAGACACTGCTCAAATCATTTATCGAATGCCGCCAAGGAGATTGCTCAAAAGTGTTGCTCTCAAATTTCGGCAATGTGCACGTGAAGGCTCCTGGGCTCGCTTCCGAAACTGGGATTTCGTTTATTTTAGTGTCCTGTTACTGGCATTGGAGTGAAGCTGGGAGGAGTCTTGCTGGTGCAGGCAGGAAATGGTTAAAGCCCTTTCATATCACCTGGGGAAGTGATTCTTTGATTTTTCAGAGGGCGCTAACATGCCGCAGTTCATAGGAAACAAAGAAGGGGGAATCAGCTATAAAAGTTGATCTTGAATTTTATTTTCAGTGGCAGAACTTGTGAGGACTAGACATTGATGTCTCCTGAAAAATATGGAATTTTGGATGACAAGAGATTTTTATTTTTCCTGTGCTGGTTCAGAAAAGGATCTGGGAAGTAAGCCTCATTCCAGCCGGTGACTTTAGATAACTTCATTTTAGTTTGAGAGGTAAGAAAAAAATAGTTATATCGCTGACCCATTTTAAAACAAAGAATTAATTGCTTAAATTGTGACTTAGGGCATGGAGCACAGGCAGACGTGTGAGTCAGTGACTGTAAAGAAGCTCATTTTTTTTCCTTTATTGTTTTTATTCAGTAAACTTTAACTTCTGAGCTAAAGTTTAGAAACTTAGGAGAGACATGATGAGGCAGAGTCTTAGGAATAAGAGTTAGAATAAGTATTTCAGTGATGAAAAAGACTTTCAAACTGTTAGCAGTATATCTGCTGATATGTTTTGTGCTTGGTGCATCACACATTTTCTCTTGGTGTTTCTTGAAGTGCTTCCTAGACCTTGTTTTGTTAAAACACGCTGCACCCACCTGCGTTATACATTTCAGGTGTGGATAGGGACTTTTCTGGTGGATGGGCTGCCCATGTGCTCAGCATTAACCTGGAGGGACAGACCAGCTGCCTTTGGGCTGTGAGAGGGGCTCTCAATTTCCATCGCTTTCTAGCCTGGCCACTGCTGAGACCTGGGAGGTTCCAGTTAAAAAGCAGTGCTGGTTTCATGTGTGCAGGTCAGAGTGGGTGAGAACAGTAATGCTTTTTTTAGCTTGTTTGGCACCCTAAAGTGTGACCGGATGGTAACACCTCATGCACAGCTGTTGCTGAAACTGTTATGAAGATTAAAACCTTTAAATGCTATGGAGAATCCTGCAAACCATCCATTTGTTTTGGCAGTTCTAAACTGAAAGTCACACTCTCCCTCTTGGGAAGGTTAATTGCTGCTTGCTAATCAAGGTATTTCGCAGCATCTCTGCAACGAGCTGAAATCCTTGGGATTTGTTGAGTTGGAGGTGCTGCTTTCATTTTCTCCAAGATTGTTCTGTTCAGTTAGCAGGGCAAGCGAGCGGTCTTTAGTGTAAGGGTGCTTTCCCAGGTGCCAAAGCTGCGTGGCACAGCGGGTAGCGCCGCTGCCCAGCTCGTGCTGTGCCCTAGGTAAGCATCAGTCCTTGCAGGAGTCGCCCTGCCAGTTCTTCTGGCAGCTCCCGGTTTCCCTTGCACCTCCACGTTTTCTCCCGTGCTGGTTTCTCATCATCAGGAAGGGAGCAGGTTGTAATCCAGTGGGAGCTGGCAATGTTAGTAATTTTATTGCAAACACTCAGAAAGGCAGTGTTTTTTTTTTTTTTTTTTGAAATCCTGCAAGTTCCATTCCTCATTTCTGCATCCCCGTTTCCCCATGCAGTGAAGCTCTTACCTCTCTGTTGCTTTTCATCAGGTGCTGGAGAAGCCGTGGACATTCCCCGCTCCTAAACTCTGTTCCCAGATTCTGGCTGGACAAGAATCACTTTTCACCCCACCCTGGTTTGGATTAATGGAGTATTTGGTAAGGTTTTGATGACGTGCTGTGAGCTATCCCATTTTGCTCCTTCTGGATCTTGAGCTTATCTCCCTCTGGCAACTGCATAAATAAATCATTGGAACTTGGTGACAGAAACTGTATCTTGAAACGAGTCGCACATGATTCACAGTTCAAAGCTGTTATTATTAGCAAGAGATCTTGATAATGTATCACTTTGCATTTAAATCAAAGATTGCAAAGCTGGATTGCCTTATTCTGTAAGAATTCTCTTATTTGAAAAGGTATTTTTCTAAGTACTTATTATGTGCCTTTGCTTATGTTATCAGTAGTTGACATTCATTTAAACTCAGTATGAGTCTTTTTTTCTCTATTTCTCTCCCAGTACAGCTGATTAGAATTGAGTTTACATTTCTTGAGAAAATATATTTGAAAGTGTCTTTTTACTGTGAGACAGAATGTACTTTTCCATGGAATTAAAATTCTGGAAAGAAAAAAAAAAAGTGCTATTGGAAATCTTGAACAAATTATATTGTCATTTCAACTATGTTATACAAGGAGGGAAAAAAAGAGAACTTCAAAGTAAAAATAAAGGGCTTTGGAGTTTTTTGATATATTATGAGAAAATGGATACATTCTCTTGAAACAGTTCAATTTTATCTGTTCAGCATTTTCCATGGAGAACATTCTATACTGACCCTAACTCCAACTTCTTGTTTAATTGAATTGGCTGGTTCGAACTACATATTAAAAATGAACTCTGAAATGTTTTCCTCTTTTGTATTCAGCCTTTTCGTGTTTTTTTTTCCCCCCCAGAGGAGAACTAATAGAAGGGTTTATATCCTGTATTTCACAGTGGTTCATGCTTCTAATACCTTAACTGCTGTATCCAATGGGACGCTTTCAGTAACACTGGCTGTTGAGGAAAACTGGACAGGAAAGGTCTTTGGAATGTAACAGGTGAAAATGTAATTTTGCCATCAGCTCTGCATCTGGCAGATCAGAGACTAAAAATTTACTGGAATAATTTTGCTACTGTTCTGGATACCTTCACATGATACTCTGAAGACTATTGCAGTTGCATTATACTGTAATACTGTGGTGACTTGGACGCTCTCAAAATATTTCTTTCCCTTTAATTGAAAACATCTTCATATTTAAATAGAAAGGACCTGAGCCCTGCTACGTACAGTGCCCTGAAATGGTGCCTGGAGTTGGTGCCTTTTTCCCTATGGAAAAAGCTCTCTGGGGAGATCTTTGTTTTGCACTTCCTTAACAAAGTATTCCTGAGACAAGGGAGTATTCTGGGAGTGAATGTATTTGGTGCTGCCCTGGATATTCCCCTGCAGCTTAAATTTTGCTAGGGTCCTGGAAGCAAGTTGTCCTGCATTGGTGGCAGGAGACCTGTCACTCTGTGAGCTCTGGAGGACCGGGATGGGAGAAGAGCTTTAGGGGAGATAGGAATCCCTTCTCCCTCGGTGCAGATACCCTCACACCATTCCTGAGGGAAGTTTGTCTGCCTCTTTCAGAAAGGTGAAAACCACATCGTAGACTTTTCCAGCAGTGTTACATCTTAAAGAATTCTCTCAATGTCAAACCTTGCTGCAGTTTAAGCCCATTATTTCTTGACCAGACTGTTGTGATCATAGAGCAGACATACCTTCATGTCTCATCACACTTGTCTCCTATGTATTAACCAGTTCTTTCATTTCATCTCACAGATTGGTTTTCTGGCCCTTGAATCTGCTTTGGACTCACTCCAGTTAGTCCCTTAGCTTTCTTGAGGCGAGTTGCTCCGAATTGGATGTGGGACTTCAGCAGAAGCTTTAGCAGGAGCAGCTGGAGGCAGAGGATGTCTCAGCTGGTCCCAGTGCTGTCAGAAAGATGAACTTCCTCCTGAACTTCTCCTCCCCACTCTGAATTGTCTCAAATATTCAGTCTGATTTCCACGCAGTTTGGTAACTAACCCATCTGTTCTCTACCTCAACTTCCCTCCAAGTCCATAAAGAAAAAAACCATATACATTTTTCCTCTTATTAGCTATTTGGGTTTATTTGGGTATTAGCTGTTTGGATGAGGGGCAGTTTAGAACATGGCTGAAGAGAGACAAGATATTTTATGAAATATTGAAAGATTTGGACAAATTGAACTTTTCAATTTAAACTAGATCTTTATTTTGGAATTTAAGGAGAGATTGGAAGTCTGCCACCTTTTAATAGCCCAAGAATGCCTTCATCTCCTTGTAGCCTTTATAGCTCACAGATACTAACTAGGCTGTTTAAGTCTGAACTATTAATTTTATTTAAAAAAACATAGATTTTTGCAGATTGATTTGCTACATTCAAAAATAAGCATTTGAGAACTGGATAGTACGAATTCACAGCACATCATTTAGCCCCCGCTTTCAGTGTTTGGTTTGACTGGTATCCTCAAAACCCTCTGGCAGTGGAATGAGCATATGTTTTCATGCATTTTAGTTCTGAAGGAATGTAGTCAATTGCATTTAAAATATGAGCTTTCTGAAGGAATATTCTGTAGGCTTATGCAAAATTTAATTTCTCATCAGAAGTAGTCTACAGGAAAAATCAATGTTTCAGATAGCTTTCATCATTGTAAATTAGTGTGCCCAAGAGAACAGGGTAAATTCAGCTCAATTTCACTAGCATTTGTATTATTGTGGGGAGTTAAAATCTTATGGTGTGGATAAATACAATAGATGAGCTGCTCAGGGGAGCCATAGCTGGTGGAAAGAGACTAAGATGGGGGTGATAAAATAGGTGTTTGCTGGTTAATGCAGCTCTCTGCTGTGTGTTTTGCATCAGTAGAAACTGTGTTTGTTGCAGAGAGACTCCAGGGGGAATGTTGCTTGGTTATGGAAGGGAATGAGGAATATCATATTTATGATGCCATGACTCAAAATCCAAGTGTTTTCTGTGTGAAACTGTGCCTGTTTATCCATTTCAGTGCAAGAGACTGCCGAGGTGCATGGATGTTGATTGTATGGATCACGAGGGCTGGATTGGAGGCTCCCTAGATGTTCTCAGCCATAGCGAGAGGCAGACCCCTGGATCTTGCAACATAAGGTTGGAATGAGATTCATTCTAGTTCTGTAGGACTCCAGTGTTTACATGGACCCAAGAAGAGAAACAAGAATTATTTTGAGGGGAACACTTGTGGTTTTTTTTTTTTTAATGAGCGGATCCCTGTGCTAAACTATAAAAATTCTTTTAGCTCCCTTGTTGTTAATGGTTCAAGTAGATTTTTGGATGCTCTAACATGTTTAAAGCCATTCTTGAATATGGGTTGTATCTGTGCAAGTCTGGACTCATCCAACCTTGGAACCTAGTCAAGAAAATCTTGCTGAATTCCAGACCCTAAATGTAAAACGTGTTCAATTACAGGTGTGGTTATCATAAGCTAAAAAATATGTCCATTAGAGGCCTCAAGAAGAAACAACCAAGGACTTTTAAAGTCAAAATCATAACAGTGGATGCTGAAATGGAGTTCAATTGTGAGGTAAGAGTCCTCAGCAGAATGGTGTAAGGAGATGGAGATTGTCTTTTGTACTAGCAAGATAGAAAAGATATTTCAAAGATACTGCAAAATTCTGTAAAAAGCCCGGGAGGAGCTGAGCTGTTGGAAAGTAGTTGTGAATTAAAGAATGGAATCACTGAAGAGACAGTAGTGGATTACGAGATCAATTCCTCACTCTGCTCAAACTTCTGTGTCTAGTTACAAACTCGGTGAAAAATGTCACTGCCATTTGGGAGTACTAGGCTAAATTATGTGAAGACAGTCTCACTATTGAAAAAGACAAATTGAAGAACTGCATCCCTGGATGAGTAGAAATTCAAATTCTCAGTTCATGGATAGCCTTAAAATTGATCCAATATTTTTATAAACAGTGTGTCACCAACTTCTTGTTTGTAAGTATGCTTATTTCTCCATAGACTTCTCCTTTTATAAATGGCATGACTTAAGATGTTGTGTCAATGAGGAAATCTTACCAGAGTTCATCCAAGGATTTTTATTTTAAAGTGATTTTCCAAATGATACCTCCATGCTCTGTTGATCTTAGTAACATCCTATTTGAAGAGAATTTCCATTTGTAAACTCCGGTTTATTTCTTCAGATAAAATGCCCGTGGCTTTCGCTTCCTTTGAGCAGAGGAGAAAAATGATCAATCTGAATGGGAAAACTAGCTCATCTTCTTTAAGTTATGGCTATCTAGTAAATTGGGTAGAGAAATCATGACTGCAGAAAAATAAGGAAGGGTGCAAATATACCAACTGATCAATTGCTAAATAATTTGGGCTGCACTATTGAGGAGGCAGCTGTGTGGCTGATGAATTCCTGATCATTCAAAAGAAGCGGGAGATTTACTGTTATTTTGAGAAGGGGAGCTAGAAAACCTAGTTCCACTGAGACTGACAATTCTAATGCGAGGTGACTGCCTTGTGAAGGGTTTAGTATTTCGTTAAGCCCCTCAGCGACAGAATGTTAATCACAGGCTATACCTTCCTGTGCCTTACTGCTCTAGAATACCTGAAGGCAGAGTCATGAAAATAAAGGATTTGGGAATATGTTTTAGAGCTCAGAGTCCTTGTTAACAAATCCAGTTTGATATATTCTTTCCTGTGCTGTCCCTCCTTTCTCCTCACATATTGCTGTTTTCCTGGGATGATTTCCTACTTTCCATCCAAATATTGCCCAGAAATACTTTTTTTTTTGCGCTATTAAATTCTCAGTGGCTGCCCATGCGATTAGACAAAATCATCTTTTAAGATGTAGCCAAATAGGAGAAACAGATGTGCAGCCTCTTCAGTGAAAAATGAGACATCCTGTATGTGCAAAATTCAGCTTCTTTAATCAAAATCTGTTCTCTATGGAGCTGGGCTAGTAAATTACTCTCATTCTGTATCTAACCCTTCAGATTAGATAACTTTTTTTCCGAATCTGAAAAGAATCTTGATTGCATGCTAAATTCTGCACCTAAAAGACAGATTCCTGTTCATTTAAATCAAAGTAGCATAAAGGTTTGGCTTAGCACCACTAAAATAGCTGAGGTATGTGAAGGATGGATTTGCTTTATGATTGTTTGGCATTTCTACTCCTCTGTGCCCTGGCACTCCCTTAATTTCCCCTGGCCTCCTCTCCAGGCTTTCCAATTTATATAGGATTTATATAGGCTGTTGAATAAGATTTTAGAAATAATAAAGCCTTGCCACGTACCTAGGAGATTACAGTGCTCATTCCCTGTGCCCGTGAAGTGTGATGCTGTGGTTAAATGACTATAATTGCTTTGTGAATGAGTTGGGGGGAGAGGAAAAGGAGGTAGAACACAGTAGCTATTGCTCTTTTGCCACAGGGAGCAGTAGTTATATTTCAGTGAGAAGTTAAAGGTGAGATAAAGTGGTTTATAGGAGAAAGCCAAGTGCTAACCTACTTAGCTTGCCTAAAATGTAGCAAGTTTATTCCAGACCAAAATCCATTTTTGCTTATTTTTCTTTTTCTTCTAGATGAAGTGGAAAGGAAAGGACTTGTTTGATCTGGTGTGCCGAGCACTTGGTTTGAGGGAGACTTGGTTCTTTGGCTTGCAGTACACAATAAAAGGAATGTGCACCTGGCTAAAGATGGACAAAAAGGTATAGAAAATGAAAGGAGGAGAAAAAGTAACCCAGCAATTTCTACTTCTAAAAGAGTTACCTTTTTTTTTTTTTTTTTTTTAAAACTCAGGAACTAAAGCAACCTGAGTTAAGTGACAACCCATAATTCTAGATGGTATCTTTTTTAAGGCTAAAGAATTTTGTTTTGTTACACAGTCTGATTTCTTGTATAACACTTGGCCTGGAATGTCAAACGCTGATCACTACTATATATGCTGGTTCTTATTACATTAAAACTCAGCATTGGCCTTCCTACTAAACTTTGAAGAGGTTTCTGTTAGTAGATTATTATCTGCTTTCTGATTGTTTTCTTCCCCTCCTCCATTTCTTCTTCTCCCTTGAATATTATTTGGAGGCATTCCTCTGTGCTTCCTCCTGATTTTATTTTTCTTTAAACAGGTCTTAGATCAAGAAATCCCAAAAGAAGATCCTGTTAGCTTTCATTTTTTGGCTAAATTCTACCCAGAGAAGGTAGAAGAGGAACTATTACAGGAGATTACCCAGCATTTGTTCTTCCTTCAGGTCAGGAACATTACAGAATTTAACTGTAAATTGTTTTTGTGTTCACCATAGTCCATTTGTATTGCCTTTGATCATCTTTTCTTCTAAACTTTATGTATTTACTCTTACTAGACCTTTGATAAGTGGAGTAGCAACAAGTGTCTATAATCTTTCTGAACTCGAGTTGTCCTGAGCCTTGCACATGTGTTGTCTGCTCTGGCCTCACCCAAATTGGATGAAGAGAGGTCTTGAGAACTTGTTGCTCTTACACCAAGTGATGTAACCTCTTGGGTAACCATTCCCTAACCCAGTTCTGTCAAAATGAACAGGATTAGAAAAGACCTGTTATTAGGTGGATGAGGTGCTGGAGGAGTGGCTACACAGGTAATTATGGTGGCAGTTGTGAAGGAGGTGAAGAGGAAAGAAACAGTGATAAGCAGCTGGGATCAATAGTTTTCCCCACCCCATATCAGCTTCAAATGGAACAGGACCTGTGACTGCAACCTAGCTCTGAAATTAAAACTCCCAAACTCCTTAAAATAGTCCAGTTGGTTACTAGGACATCTTCTGTATGACTGTAGAAGGCACAATCAGTAGGAGACAAGGATGCCCTTAACCTATCCTTGAGGGATCTGCATTCTGGGTTGTAGGGATAAAAGATCATATAGTTTGATATGTTCTGAAATGTAGGTGTGCTCTTCTAGCAACTTCCAAAGTGCATTTTGGATGGTCCCTTGTTGCTTAGTGGCCTGTTCCAACATCTGGGCTATTCCAGCTTCTTTCCTGAGTTGCTGCCTTGTCCTCTGCAAGTTGCAGCTCTCTGAGCAGTTACTCCCTTGCAGCTCTCAGCAGAACCTGCCTGTGCAAGGAGACAGTGGGAGTAAAATCTGTAAATAAACAGAATGAGTGCACTCATTCCCTGTGGAGGAAATTAATGAAATAATGAAGTAAATGGGGTCTTTTTCAAAGCACTAGCATAGGAGCTAAAGCCTAATCCAGGGCCCTTAACCACTTGGCAGTTTGATTGTTAAGCTAATTTTGGAATGGAATGAGAGGGGCATAACTTTTCCTCACTTTGTTTTAATCCCGCTTTTTTTTCTGTGCTTTTTTTCCTTGAACCTGCCTTGACTGGCAGATATGCAATTAGCAAATTCTTCTCATTCCAAAGGTAGAAAAACAAGGCAGAAACAATTTTGAACTTGCAGAGTTTCCTGACTATAAGAACTTAAGATCACACCTGGATGCTAATAGGAAAAACATGTACAGACAACTGGATGCTTACAGTTTTCAGCTCTATTGCCTATTCAGACTTCTACAAATTAACATGGCATAACAGCTTTCTGCCAAACATATGCATAAACTTAAGATTAAAGCTAAATTTTGTCATTTAAAGATTAAAAAGTATGTCCTTTTATAAAGGAGTGTAACAAAATATCCTTGTAAGATTGAGAGAAAAAAGGAACTTGGACACGTTTGACATTTATCTTTTTTCTCAATTCTGAAAGATATGGTTTGTGCCATGGAATATGAAAGCCACAGCTTTCCAACTTGGAAGAAAAATCTTTTCATTCTTTCCATTTTACAGCTCAGTTTTCCCTACGCTGTAACTCAGGTTCATATACTGTGCTCACCAGAGGCTAAATTTAAAAGAAAAACTCTTCTTTTGGTTCATTTCAGTTCACAGTGCTTGTAGCTCCAACTTGTGTTTGTCAAGATAGAGCAGTATTATCTCAAGTAATTTCTTTCTTTTATTTTGGGAAATAAAGACTGTACATTATGCAAATCTCTCTTATCTTGTCCTTGTTAATAGGATAAATTCATTATATTTGAGAGGGAGTTGTGAATATTGTTTTTTTCCTTTCTCTCTCCTCTGATATTCTTCCAAGGTAAAAACCCAGCAGGTATAAAATCAAGTAATATCTCAAACTATTACGCCTCTGATCTGTGGTAGTGCCATAGACTATTAAATGTGTTAAGAGACTCTTTACCATTTATCCTTTGCTTTTATTTTTAAGCCTCTACCTTTTTATTGTTCTTAGGTTACTATTATTAAATGGATTTGGTGCTCTAAGGCAGTTTTTCTTTGTGGGCACCCTTTAATCTCTCATGCTGCAACACTGGCTTGTGACCACTGCAGGTCTGCTCTTGTTGAGGGTTTACTTTCTGAAAAGCTCGCAAGCATCTTATTAATGTTTTCAATATATAATATCTCTGTCCTTGAAGATATTCAAAACTTATGTGGACAGGGCCCTGAGCAACCTGGTCTGGTCAGACCTGCTTTGACTAGTTAACTTCCAGAGGTTCCTTCTGACCTCCAAAAGTTCAGTATTTTATATGTTATATAGGTAACTTTTCCACCAAAACTGCATGCTTTGTTATACAGGCTTTTAGTGGCTTTCTAAGTAGTAGGTCAGATCACTGTTTCATATAGCCCTTTTAGTGCCATTGAATACAAAAAAAAATTATGGTGATTTGAAGTAGCTGAGGAGCTCACTTGCCCTTTTTTAATGTTGAAGGCAAAATTGCTGTAGCTTCCTTCTGGAATATGAATTGGTAATAAAAGGGAGCATGAGAAAGGATGTTTCATTATGCTTATATGAAGGTAGTAGAAGGAAAAACTCTTAACTGTACAAGATTAAAAGCTTTTGCTGATTTATGGATACGACATCTTCCTATTCTAAACTGGGAATATTATTCTTAACTGGAATCTAAACCATAATTTATGGTCAAAATTTAGTACCTAGTCCATTTACATCCTTTGACAGCATATAGAAGCCAAGAAATGCAGGTAAATTTGTTTTGCCAGGCTGGAGTAAAGATTCTTACACTGTGAGCTAGAATGAAGCCTCTCTTTCTGCAAAGAGGCATTTGCAGGAAAAAATCAGGAAACTACCTGTAGTAGTTCTTGGATAACCTGATAATATTTTACACTTACAAATGACATTTATTCAAGGCACAGTGCAAATATTAGGAAAATCTAACTACTATAAATTAGACATGAAGGGCAATTTCAAAGCAGGGGGAAGGGAAAAATAGTGAAATGAAACACAGACCATAAAATTATGATCTGTAGCACATTCTTCTCAGCTTTTGGGATGTAAGTGCAGAGAGGTAGCTGACTGGCATTTCACTGAACTTGGAATTAAGGCACTTTTGCTTTTAAAAAATTGGGTTTTCCTTCAATGTAACCTTAAGCAAAGATTTCCTGTGTTTCCAAATGCTGTTTTGTTGTTGCTGTTAACTCCTAATGATGCTTGCTGCCAAGTTATTAGTCTGGGCATGTTTAGTTTCATTTCAAGCCTGACCTAAGTCCTGACTTTGAGCTCCTTCTGTAACTTGCTCCCCTTTTCTCTTGATTTAGGTTAAGAAGCAGATACTGGATGAAGAAATTTATTGCTCTCCAGAGGCAACAGTTTTACTGGCTTCTTATGCTGTTCAGGCCAAGGTTTGTGAATAATAGTGCTCTTTTATTACTTTTTTTTAACAAACTCATTTACGTGATGGTAAGTAAAATGTGCAAAAGCATTAAACTTCATTAAAGAAGTAGGTCATCCAGAGAAATACAGATAGAGGAGGGAAAATAAGCATTATATGTCATTATGAGCCATTACAAGGCTTCTGGGAAGATGCTTGTTTGCTCTTTTACAGTTCAGGAGACTTTGGACCTAACCTTTTAATATGAGGTTTCTCCTGGTTAGCATCTTTTTTTATTATTCTAAAAAAAAGACCTTGGATACAGCAGGTGCTGATGTCTTGAGCTCACACCTAGTTGCCTGACCTCATGGTGGGATGTGATTGATTTAAGTATCTCAGGATATAATGAATTGTCAAAGATTTATACAATGGCAGAACTCAGGCAAGGTCTTGGTGGGGAGGCCATCTGCAGCAGCCCTGCCAATATGCAGTAGAATTAGATGCACTTTCATCCTAGAACTTAGTTCATAACTCAGAGGGCATCAGAAGTCCTGGGTGATTCCTTTATATCTGTAGTTACCAAAACTCTGCCTAAGGCCATAGGCCACCTCAGTAGCTACACTGGAACAAGAGGCATGGCACAAAGGCTGGAAATTGGCAGCTCAGGTGAGGGGAGCCTCTTTGTGCTTTTCCCTGTATATGGGAGAACTGGATCTGTCTTGGGCAATTGCATCCAACAAAAACTACACAGCCAGGAAGTTCTTCAGCATTCTAGTAAGTTGAAGTATCTTTTCTTTTCTTGGGACAGTATGGTGACTACGATCCGAATTTTCATGAGCCAGGCTTTCTAGCCCATGATGAACTTTTACCCAAACGGGTAAGTCTTTATTGTGTGTGAAAACAAATCTTGGAATCAACGCTTTGATGTAGCACGGATACTGCTCTGTGACTAGCCAGAGCATTAGAAATGTTGTGTTTGCCCTGAACTTGGCAAAATGACCGAGCTGTGAACTGCACTGCTGTATTCGTGTTCCCTGGGAGAGGCAGCATGTGTGTTTGTATGTTCAAAACAAAACAAACTCCTTCCCTTCTCCGTAGGTCCTCAGGCAGTATCAGTTGACGGCAGAGATGTGGGAAGAAAAGATCACTGCTTGGTATGCTGAGCACAGAGGTATTGCCAGGTATTGAAATCACCCCATTCTTTGGAAATGCCATATATCTTAGTAACCAGTTGTTTCCCTTTTTTTATTAAAATTTGGCTGTTGTAGGTGAGCGAAGAGAAATTGGGCTCTAAGTTATACTTTTAATAGGTTCCTTTATCCCTAAGCGAGGGAGAACCCCTCATTATTCTAGGTAATCATCTTGTGTAGGGCACAAAGTACTTGCAAGTTGGACTTGCTTTGGATTGGGCCGAGAAGCTGAGGGCTTGGGCTGAAGTATATCTAGAATAGACATGCCAACAGAAATCAGTTCTTGCAGAATATTTGAGCGCTGTGTTAATGTTGTTTAGCCTTTTAAAGGAATCAGTGAAGTTCCTGGAGTTGCTGGCATGACTACTCTTAACAGTGGCTACTTTGCTACTTTTCTAGCACTATATCAGACCTTACAACAAAGGAGGAATCTGATAGTATTTTATACCTTAGGAAAGTTATAGATATTGGTGTCTTCCCCTGTGGACATTCAGCTACTTCTAACATATCCAGGAAATTCAATTATCGAGGAGTTGCTGGCACCCAGAGGTAGCCTTTCCTGATCATTGTTTGGTTTATCTTTGTTGTCAAGGCTTCTTAGCACTTTTTTACTGGAATGTTTTCCTCAAGACTTGCTCATGTCTCCTTTTGGAGGGAGAACAACAACAGTGGGTGGGGAGGCTCTCACCTTCTTTTGGACTTCACCCAAATTACTTTCTTGAACAAGTTTAGAACTTGTTCAAGATTTATTTTGCAATGAATTCTTCTTCCTGAAGGAAATAGCCCCATGTCACAGAAGACAATGGGAGAGTAGCTTTCCAAAAGATGACAATGGAATGAAAAAGAACTCACAAAGATAAGATTGGAGTTGATTTTTAATAAAGATTGCACTCTATGTGACAGGTCATAACAGGCAAAAGTTTATTGTCCTTTTTCTCTGAAGAGATGCTATTTTTATCACCCTTCTTATGCTGTTGAGAGCAAGTCAGCAAAATTAAAGTGCCCAAAACCATATTGCCTGTTCTTTTCAATGTGAGGAATATAGAGTCAGCGAGGAGGGGAAAGGTTGGATAAAAGTTTCCAAGTGTGATCACAGTATTATTCTCTAGGGATGAAGCTGAAATGAACTACCTGAAAATTGCCCAGGACTTGGAAATGTATGGTGTCAATTACTTTCCCATTGCTGTAAGTATTTTATTTTAGCAATTTGCAACTGCTGTTGAGTATGATAGTGTTGCTTCCATTCCTCTAGGAAGACTGGAACTAGGACTTCTGGGTCCTGTTTTTGTCAGTCCCTGTCAGAGTGGCTGTCCAGAATGTCCTGACTCAGTTTACTTGCCTGTTAAGTGAGCAGGTGAATGAAACAGTGGTGGCCTAACAAAACTCTTGGGTGGCTTTGAATATGTAATAGCAGGAAAAAGGGTAAATAAACTAAAAGTTCAGTTATTTCAGTCAATTTAAGGGATTGAGTTTCCTTTTGGGGTTGTTGGGTCTCTCTTTGGCAGTGACCACGTTCATAATTTTTTCTATGAAAACACTCATGTGTTATCTTAAAATAAGTGTGGTTCTTTTCTGTGGTTAAGTGTCACAGTGAATATTTTGTATTGACATCTGTTTTGTGCTTTTTTGTTAGCAAAATAAAAATCATACGGATCTCCTACTTGGAGTTGATGCTAAAGGTATTCATATCTACAGTATTAATAACAGATTCTCTCCGAATAAGTCATTTGAGTGGAGTGCTATCAGAAATATTTCCTATAGTGAGAAAGAGGTATGATGAATCTATTATTGCTTTTATATGGCATGGGTGTGGACTGGGGTTCTTGGAACAGGCTGATAGCTGTCTCTGTTCAAATAATTTTGGGAAAAAAGAAATCTTGGGAGGTTTGTTACAAAACTGAAACCGACTTGTCTTTCGGATGTGCTGTGTAACCTCAGTTCACCTAGAAGACAAAGACTGTTCTGAGCTCTCCAAATTTTTGCTGTCCATTGTTCTGGTTTCTTTCGTGCTGCTTGACCTCTGCAAAACAAGTGTATTGATCTTTTACTAAAAGATATATATCACAAGTGCCACTAAGGCTGGCGTCAGTCATCTCAGTGGGGATTAAATGGTCCATTCTGCTTTACTTACAGAAGCTGTTCTTGTAGATGAAGTTTGAAGTACACTGTCAAGAGATATCCAGTGGGATGTCTGTGGTTTTATACCTGAATTCTACAAATTTCAGAGCATTATTTTAGTCTTCAGCATGGCTGCACCACTGCAATTTTGCTCTGATTTCACAGCCCGTTTTCTGCTTTGGAAAGTACAGCAGAAAATGAGTGAAGTTGGGAGCCATTTCAGATGAAAGGGATGTGGCTACATGGAAGGTTATAATCAGAAAAACAAATGCAGAAACACTGCATTGGTACTGAATACCTGGAAGCTAGCAACCAAAGGACAGCACAGACTGTTCCTTTCTTTCTGTGTCAAACAAAAAACCTTAACCAAACAAAAACCCATTGAAAGTCAGATTTGCTGTTCAGAGTTAAGTTTCACATGTGTTAAATCACGCAGGGCAACCTACAGGAGAGTTCTGCCTCCAAAGGATTTTTTTCCTTGCATAACATTAAACATTATGGGAGTTTTGTGTATAAACTGCTTAATTCCTGATTGTTGGAGAGCTGGGCAGCCCGGATATTAAAGGTCCACTATTTTCTGTGACATTCATTGCACTGCTTCTTACCAGGCGATATGTTCCACTGATTGTTACCTACAGGGTGAAATGAGATATAGTGTGTTACGGTCTTGATGACTCAGATGACCTGAAATTATACATTGCTTTGCAAATTAATAATAGGAATAAAGTGCTAACCTGTGAGTCGCAGAAAGCAGGATCTTAAGGAATGGAGCTGTTCTTTGTCATGCAGCTGAATTGAGCTCAGCATAGAAAGCAAAATCCTGAGTACTGACCCAGTAGCATGGCTGGGTAGCATAACTCTTCACATCCTCCAAAAACAGCTTGGGAGGAGCGACAGAAAATGTGAAAAAAAAAAAAAAAAAAACCTGCATGAGGCTATCTGAGAGGAAGAGACACATTCTGGGCCTCTCTGAGGCATTTCATTTACACCTGAAATTATTTGAATGGAGAGGTGTTTGACATCTTAACTTTAGGACTATGACAGCTTCTGGGGATTTGTGATACATTCTGGTTTCCTTAAATAAAAAAGTATTCCAGGGTTTCTGGTATAGTGTACACAGCATAGGTGGTTATATGAAGGTTATTACCATGCAAACTGGTTGCAAAGTTTGCATCAGTATTAAGAGTTTCAACTTTACTTTTTTCTCCTTCATTCAAAATATGCGTCATTTTTTTTCTCTCATGCAGTTAACTATTAAACCTCTTGACAAAAAAGCAGAAGTCTTCAAGTTCTTTTCCTCCCAGCTCAAAGTAAACAAATTGGTAAGTGTGCTGCTTTCTTCCTTTAAACGGAGGGATGGATGAAGGACAAAAAGAATCCCTCTTTGTTACGAACTTTTCTAAACTCATACGTGTCAGCTTCTGTCCTGTGAGGCCTCTGTGGGGCTCTTAGCCCCATGGTTGGTGTGCAAGTGTGTCACAACCATATTTTCTTTGCTTTTCCCATCCAGATTTTGCAGTTGTGTATTGGAAACCATGACCTGTTTATGAGAAGAAGAAAAGTGGACTCAATAGAGATACAGCAAATGAAAGCACAAGCCAGGGAGGAAAAAGCTAGAAAAAAGGTAGACTCGTGTTCCTGAAATACTGATCTGCTGAAAATACTTACTATTATTGAGGCTGGTGCTCTTGCTGTCCATGCTTTGCATCACTACAGGTGTGGGATGTGAGAAAGTGCAGCAGGAGTGAGTGGAGCTGCTCCAGTGTGTGCAGGTTCTGATGATGTAAGTGACGGTTGTGGAACCAAAGCAGTGATCACAAAGATCTGGGGTGCATGGCAGGCCACTCCAAGTGTTTTCCCAACAGTCTCAAATAACTGTTATTACTAATCAGTGGAGTTCAGTGCTGTCAAGTGCAAGTTGCTTCACCATTGTTTCTGGTGGATGTCAGTCTGCTAGCCAGAGCAGTCCGTTCCCCATTGCACTCATTTGTTGTGGTGTTCCAGGCCAAGCTGAGATTCCAACCCACAAACTGTGTTCTGCTCATTCCCTTTCTAGATGGAGAATCAAAGGCTGGCCAGGGAGAAGCAGCTCCGAGAAGAAGCTGAGCGAGCCAAGGAAGAGCTGGAAAGGCGTCTCTTCCAGCTGGAAGATGAAGCCAGGCAGGCCAATGAGGCCCTGGTGAGTAGCATGTTACTCTGAATGTTCTTGAGCTTGAAGGACTCTCTTGGTTTGGGAACTGCCTCTTGTTATGGTTCCCATGAGACAGCAGAAGCTGTGGCTTAGGCAAGGCAGGAGTTTCTGATGTGTAGGGGAGAGGTCCTGTTGGAATATCTGGGAGAAGCCTGATCTCCTTAGCCTCTTTGCTGTGAACCATTCCACTGTCCCTGGATTTGGTTCTCAGTGCTTTTCTACAGCAAAGAGGAGGGAATTCATGTAACACTGGGAAGTGAAGTTGGGATAAAGGCACATGGTGTGGATCCTACTGACAGCTGAGGGGGGAGGATTCTGTCAGTATTTGTTTGATGTCTTTAATACTGAGCAAGTGTCTCTCCTTTGTTATGGAGGTGAGAGGCAGGAAGGAATTTAGGTAATTTAGGAGTAGAAGAGAAAGGTCAAACCCTATAATTATGTTTCTTTGTTCTTTTTTTTTTGTTTTAAGCATTAACATTTTTATCCTTTAATCTGCTGGGGAAACATGTCATCCTCTTGACTGACTGCAGGGCTGACACTAAATGCTAGACAGAGTGACAGAGAAAAACTTTTCTTCTAGCTACGATCCCAGGAAGCAGCAGAGTTACTGGCTGAGAAAGCTCAGATTGCAGAAGAGGAAGCCAAATTGCTGGCCCAGAATGCAGCAGAAGCTGAGCAGGAGCGACAGAGGCTGGAGATTACAGCTCTGAAGACCAAGGAAGAGAAACGCCTGATGGAGCAAAAGATGAGGGAGGCAGAGATGATAGCGGTGAAGCTGGTGAAGGAATCAGATCGGAGGTTGGATTTGCTTGGGTGGGATTATTTGGACCCTACTGGGATGTCTGGGTGGAGAAAGTGCTGCTCTTTGCAGCCAGGAAGGAGTTTTTTTTCCCTGAAGTGCTGCTTCAAAGTCACTAAACTTTCTTGCGTATTGTTCCATCTTGTACTGGTGGTTGTGATTCAGGTCAATAAGAGTTTACACAGGATGAGACAGGGCTTTAGAGATCCTTATTAATGATCCACAAACATTTTGCAGCATCCTTTCCTATTCAGCATTATCAAAAGAGCACTGACTGCCTCGCTAGCTAAATTTAATGGTCTCTGTGTCCTAGGGATTATGAGCCTGTTCTCAGTAAAACCAAGGTGTGTTTTCCTACAGCCTTTTCATATCATTAAAAAGCATAAACCACATATACTCATGTGGAATACAAGCTATATATAAACCATTTTGTAGGGGATTGCATGTTTCACAACTGTGTGCTGCCTAAAAATGCAGAGCAGTGTCAACAGAGGATGTTTAACCTTGCTATTGAGAACCTTTTGCTTGTGTTAGGATACTGCCAAAGAACTTGCCAAAGTAAAGAGTGCCTATATTGCACCTCTCCCCTTCTCAGGGAGGATCTCTGACAGCCTGGGGAATCTGTATCAGCAGGAGATAGCTGAGCCCATGGAAATCAAGAGTAGGAAAAAAAACATTAATTCAGCCAATTCATGCAGGATTGTCCTTCAGAGTGTGTCATGCTGTGTCCAGTTTGTTCCCTATGCGGTTATCCTACCACAAATGTTACTAGGGAATGGAATCTAAGTAATGATCCTTGTACTCCAGAAACTAGTGGGATGAGTAGTTGGAATATGGGTGTTGCTTTATGCTCAAAATCCGCATCCATGTCAGGATATTTGTCTTGCAGAGCAAAGGAAGCAGAGCATCTCAAACAAGACCTGCATGAAGCCAGAGAGGCTGAACGGAAAGCAAAGCAGAAACTCTTAGACATAACCAGGCTCAATTATCCTGTAAGTTCCTGTTCTGGTTTGCACCACTTCTCGGGGAATATCTGGCTGTTGATTTTACATTTGTTGCCCCACTCAGGCTGCGTAGTGACATTTCCAGGCAATGAGACAGCTCAAATAGTGCTCAAGCACAGTGTAACGAAATTGGAAAAGGTATTTGTTCATGTCTGTACATCAAAACTATAAGAAGTTGTTAAAAAAAAAAAAATAAAATAAGGCTGCCCTTGGATATGTGGGTTGTGGGTTTCAGTCTGGGGCCATTCAGGTAGAAGGGGGAGGGCTGCAGTAGCCTCTGTGCAACTTGGAATCCACGTGGACCTTATGAAATGGCTCAGCATGTCATCCTGGCAGAACCTGGAGAAACGATCAAAAATCCAAGCAATCAAACCTCATTGTCAATGCTTGTGTTGCCTCCTTTAGCACACGGTCAAGTACCCACAGTACTCACCAACTGACACCAGAGATGCCAACTTTGACAAAGGGTCTGTAAAGCTGGATTTGAAAGACATCGACCTCAAGAGACTCTCCTTTGAGATCGAGAGGGAAAGGTATCAGTATGCTCACGGTGTGAATTAACGACAGTACATTAATGCTATGAAGTATAGAAAGAATCTTTGGGATTTGTGGTTTACCCTTCTAATGATCCAGGATGGCCTCCTACTTGTATATTCAGCTGGAGGCCTTTTATGACACAATTTTCCTGTGTAAGATTAGCTTTTTGCACAGAGCAAATTCATTCTTGTGCCATTAAGCTATAACAAGTTCAGGACCTTTTTGTTTTGGAGAGCATGATGTGGGGGCTGGAGTTCTGTGCTTGAGTAACAGCATGTGAGAGGATAGAAGCTTCCTTCTAGTGTTGAGGGATAGGGTTGCTTTGCTGGCCTAAAAGGTAGTTCTTGGTAAAGAGCTGGAAAGTGCCTGAATGTTAAGAGATGGGGTAGCAAATCCTATTTTCAGTGGGCCAGGGGAAATCAGGCTGACATGTGGCTTTTTTGATTTTTGCCTATCAAAATGCAAAAGTAAAGAATTACCTCTCTTCTCTTTCCCCATATGCCTGATCTTGAGCCGTCACGTTAACAAGCTTCTTGTCTCCAATGTATGGACTGCAGGTTAGATTACATAGAAAAGAGCAAAAAATTTGAAGATCGATTGAAAGAACTGAAGTCTGAAATTTATGCGTTGAAATTAGAAGAAAAACAGTCTGGGCTTTACTGTCATTGGAATGAAGTGCTGGGGTCCTTGGATCGCTCCTTAGGAAATGTATGTACCCTTAACAGAGGTTTTACAGTAAGGGTAATATAGAAGCAAAATCAGAAAATGTAAGTTGATTGTATATTAAAAACTGTCAGATTCTATTTGCAGCATAAACCATAAAAGAGAATAGAGTGCATGAAATGTTTCTGAATGTGTTTGCTAAAGGTAGTTGCTGTATTTCAGTTCAATGCATATTATTTAGTACTTTTGATAGTAAAATATTAGAAGTGTAAACAGACAATGAAAACTCACATGAAAATGTGAGAAGGTTTTCCTGGGTAGGATGCAAGTACCACAAGCAAAAAATAATTGTCTTGCAGGTTATGAAATCATGGTAAGGGTTTAGGGCCTCAGAACAAACTAAATTTTTGTAACTTAACACATTTAAGTGTTGTTTCAGTTTGCATTCTCATGTGTGTACTTTGTGATTTGCTATTTATCTGCTTTAACAATCTTGTTCTTTTTAAGGCAATGAGGAACTAAAATGAGACTTTGTTCATACACTTATTCTGTATAAACTCTCCAGCTTCTTCAACCGATGTAAGACTAGGGTGGGCTTTGACTTTCTAGACTGCTCCACATCTAGTCAGTTGTCCCAAGTAAACTCTTTAAGGATGAAGAAGGGAAGCTTGGAAAAAAGAGGGAATGGGCTTCCTGGCCTTCATTCTCTGACTATGCAGATGATGCTCTTTTCGGTTTAATGATTGTTAATGCAATGAGAATATTTAAAGCTACATGTGTTCTGTTCTCTTAAAGACCTCATCATGGATGAAAACCTTTGAAACGAGGGATTCATTGGATATAAATCTTCAAAGACCTTTCCCTGCTTACTCATTAAATACCACAAGCAGCTGGCCTTGTACCAACAAAACTCAACACACACTGCCAGTGGAAAAGTCATCTTTTCAAGCAAATTCCAGTGTGGGCACAGGGACCAGAAAACAGATTATAAAGGTAATGAGACTTAAAAATAAATTTAAGGATGTTGGGTAAAACTTTAGAGTTCAAAAAGGCTAAGAGTGACTGGCCATAGGCAATTGCTTTGACCAGCTGTATTAGAAATAGCAGTTGTCAAAAGTTAGCTGTTATGAGTTTGAAACTCCTGTACTGGGACCACCCTTCAAGACTGCTTAGAACTTGAGGTCACCTGATTTTTTTGCTTATGATCTAAGTTGCAATGCAAAGCTGTAAGTGTCAGTAAGTGAAACATACCCATGTGTAGTACATCTGTGTTATTTTGTTTGAATCAACCAGACTTGGAAAGAGAATGAGAATGTACTCTTCCAAATCAGAAGCTTGAAACAAATTGTGCCTAGGTTGTTTTTTAAGGGGTGGGAAATAAGGTAACAGTAAGTGCCTAGATTTCCTACAGTTCAGTTCTTTTCTAAAATAATGTGTGATCCCTGTCAAAGAATCCTACAGAGCTAAGAAAATGGTTATATATTAAATACACTCTACTTTTGAATTTCATGAGCTAGTGTGGAGAATCAAGTATGTGTTTGAGAAGGATTGCAAGGTCAATCAGCTCTTGAATCATTAGAAAGAAATTGGCTTTCTCTAGGTAGTGCTATTTGTGTGAGGTATGTGTACAAAGGAAGCTTAATGTATTTTTTTTGCTATTCTGTATGTGAACAAAATGGAGCTATGTGCCTTATCTGTCTCAAAGGGGTTTTCAGGAGCAATTAGAGGCTCTAGGAAGTATCTTTGAAGACTGGAACGTTCAGGGTTATGGGCTCAGAACTAAAGGGGCAGAGCTCAATGCAGCAGCAGGTGAAGCAGCAGATAACAAGCAACTGCTTCAAGATCAACCTAATCCAAATAGCAGAGGCAAGAGAAATGTGGAGTTTTGATCCCTTCCCTCAACCACTAGAAAGAGGAGAAAAAAAACCCCCACCAACTCAAGCTGTTGCAGGACATCTTGCAAAAGACCCCCAAATTTGGACATAGAGTTGAACAAAAGGGGCTCAATTTAAGCAGGAGTTCAGGGTGACACTAATTTTTCCCTATTTGGTTTGCATACAGGTTCAGCAGCATGACTCGGATGTGATCTACATTTGAAACCTCTCGCTTCCTTACCAGACTGGTAGAACCTGGTGACAATCTGCTTGGCTGCTGCAAAATGCACCTGCCTAGGACGTTTGCACAGCTCCGTGCTGACAGGCGTTCGTGTAAGAGCCTGTGGTTCTGTAGTTAGTGTGGTGCCATTCAGCTTCCAAAGAGGCAGCATAAGCTGAAAGCACTAAAACTGCCAGGGTAAAATGGGTTGTGTCTTTGGGTATAATGGTGGAAAGGACAATCTGGAGGAGCGTTGTGTTTACTACTTATGCACTTTTGAAGAAATGCTTTGTACTTCACTAAACTCTCTTCCCCCAAGTGACTGTATGGGGTGACTATCCGTATCCTACTGTACTTGTGTAGAAAAGAGGTTGGGAAACTAGTGTCCAGGGGAAGATATTTGGGATGAGGAAAAGCATACATGAGCCTCGGTGTTTATCCACACAATAGGTATGTTCAGTTTTCAGTTCTGTCCATGGGACATGACTCTTAGAGCTGTTGAGCATTTTAGTGTTTGCCTGCCAAATATTTTCCTTTTCCTTCCCAAATGTTTTTCTATTCACGTAATTGATTTGCATTTCTCCAAGAGAAATCTCAGCATGTATTTCCAGACATAGAAGTGGATGACTTCAAATGCCTCTTGTATTCCTCGGGGAATCCTTCGTTTGGAATGCAAAGCTGCTGTTTCTACAATTTTTGTCTATATCAAACACTTTCTGTTGTATATCTGTATCCAGCCAACTTTGCATATGTAACTTTCGCCATTTCTGGTGGTGCAGCTCCCAAATTAGACAAAAGATGCTATTGGTATCTGCTACAGTTCAGCTTGTTTCCAGTAGAGGTGTGTGTGCAAGAAAATGTCTGTCTCATTAGTGTTTTCTGGTTCTATGTATTAATTGTCTGTTTCAGCAAGAAATCTTCAGTCTGAGGATTTCTGGAGAAGCAGATGATATATGGCTGTAGCTAAGGTAGTAGCACAGTTGAGCATGTGAGTTGTGATGTAAAAATGGATGTTAATATTCCTAAGTATCTAGTCCTAAAGGCTAAGATTAAAAAAAATAATAATAAAAAGCTTCAGTTTCCACATCCTAGGAGCAACTTAGAGCTGAATAGTGTGTCAATATTGCAATATCATTAACAAGGTAAGTTCCAAAAATGCAAATCTCGTGGGATTTGTCCTCGTGACACTGAGGACGCACTGGGGGAGAGCATCTGTGCCAGCTCTGCCCTCAGACTTTGAGCTGTCATGACAGTTACATGGCAAGATACACATCACAGCTATCTGCTGTGACAAGATGATGTGTTACCCCAGCCTTGAGAGTACTCCCTGCCTCCTTGGGCAGGGAGAGTGTTAATTCTGTTCATGGCTCTGATATATGACAGATTTGCAGATTGACTGTGCCGTGCATTGCTTCTGATCTGTCTGGGAAAAGCCTCTTCTGTGAGATGGAGACAAAGAAGGGAGAGGCCCAACACTAGGCTTGTGGCATTGACCAAAACTGCACAGTGGTGAAGTAAGAAATGGTCCTAGAGGGGGGAAAAAGCACACAGGAACCCAGGAACCTCCTCAGATTTTGAGGGAGGGAGTTGGTCTTGCTGTAAATCAAGCTGGCGTCCTTGTTCTGCTGCATGTGCTGGGACTTCTCTCACAGTCACATCCAAGCTGAGTCATGAACAGTGCAGAGGGATGAAGAACTGCTTCACATGCATGTTCAATTGATTCATTTCTTGGCCTCAACGGGAAAAATCCTGTATTTTGCAATGAAACCACAGAGGCTCTGTGCTGTAAGGACATGCTGCTGCCAACTTAAAAAGGAAAACTGTCTGCACAAGCTACCTTAGCCTGTTCAGAGGTGTTTTTGCTGTGTATTGTTCACCTGCAGGAGAGGACCATGCTTCTGAAACCTTTTATGGGTGCTTGAAAGGTGACACAGAGGCAGGAGGCTCTGGGATCTGCTGGAGAAATGCCTGCAGAACTCGGGCGCTCTGTGCTGTCATGGGAGGGAGCCTGCAGAGAAGTGCAGCCAGCCATTAGCTTGCCAAACACCTAGACAAATATTTGTAGCAAATAGATTGTGTGCGTCAGTTCTGATGGTCACCATTGTTCTTCCAGTATTTGCAGTATTAACTATTCTTCTTAAAGCAGGCACTGCTGCTGTGCTGAGGAGAATGTGATGCTGCCTAACACCAGGTGAAGAAAATGTGAGGAGGAGCTCTGCAATCTCTGCCAAGCAAGAACAGCACAGGTTGCAATCCATAATTGCAGGATTTGTCATCCTAAAGAGTATGGTGTTAATGTGAAGATGCTTTCAGCCTCTTTGAGCGTTTGAAACCCAGCACAGGACCGTGGGCTTGCAGGCAGCAGTCGGCAGATGGTGCTGCGATGCTGCTCGGCTGCATGGCTCTGGCTCTGCTCCAGAGCAGCCCGGGAAGCCTCGGCTGGGAAACCTGCTCTTATGCTTTGAGAATCTCTGCTGATTCCTGTTCTCCCACACCAGCCTCGGCTTGCTGATAAGCTCTTCCCAGAGCTTCACCTGACACAGTTTTTGATGGGGATTCGAAATGTGTAAACCCTATAGTCTGAGAAGTGATTATTACACAAAAAGCTTAGTCCCATGGGTATGAGCTTGCTCCCAGCGTTACAAAGAGAGCCTGTGATAGTCCTGCCGCATCATTGTCATCATCAGACTGTGAAAACAGCCCTCGGAGTGGATTTCCTCGGTGGCTGCCAGAAGTGTGTGAGACCCTACAGGTCTGGTGCTATTTGATATTTTCATTAATGCTGTTTGAATCAAGCGTAGGCCTGTTAAATTTGCAGAGGATGACGGGGCTGTGGTGTGTAGCCTAAAGAGAAAAGGGAGGCCTGAAAACAGTTTGCAACTGCATAAACTGCTGTTGCAAGCCAGAAATGACAAAGACATCCTCTTTGTCCATGCTGGATAAGTGCTGATGTTTTGGTCTCAAGCTGCAGCAAAAATCAGAAGATAAAACATTACAGCAGTGAGAAGGTACTGGTAGATCACCTGGAGAGGGAAGAAGTCTAACTTTGGAGTGACAGTGAATGTTAATCTTTTTGGAGAAGTTGGACTCTTCCCTGGCCCTGGTTTCTATGTTTCTCTGAAAAATCCCTTGCTCTAACCCATAGAGGGTTCTCCCTCCCTTCCTAAACACCTTATAGAGCAACTGCATATTCTTGCCCAGTCAGCTACTTGTGATCTGAGCTGTAGGAGTAAGTAAATGGATAATAATTCTAGCTAGGCTTTGCCCACTAGGCCTAGCATGAGAGAACCAGAGCTGTACCCAGCTCCTGGCTGGTATCCTAAGGCATCATTCCCCATCCAGTGTCTGATCCTTGGACACTGCCAAGCAGAGGCATCTCGGCACCGTCAGAGACAGCACCCAGGGACCTGCCTGCTAGAGATCAGCTAGTCCCTGTTCACGTGGGCTGCATCCAGTGTTAACCCTGACCCGGAGGTGGGTGGCTGCCTCCTGAGTCATCTGCTCTCTTGACCTTTTCCTCCCTGCGCTGCTGTTTCTGAGGAGCCCAGTCACCAGCAATGTGGTGAGTTCACATCCTGTCTTTGCTGCTTGTGGCTGCACAGTTGCTCTCAAGTGAGCTGCCTCTTCTCCTTGCAAATGTGCAGCCATCCTGGCATCTGATGTCACTGGCTGATGCTTTTTTGCTACCTCATTTCTTTCTTGCTCTGATCCAGCAGGGTCTACAGTTGTCTCATGGCCAGTATTTTTATTCTCCTTCACTGGAAGTAGCCAACTTCTGTGAGAACATTCCTAGCACCCATGTTCAAACTTCAGGAGGTGAAGGTGAGCTCCCAGCCTGCTGCCTTTGGTGGTGGGGAAGGTAGTAGGGACACAGGGCTGGTATGGAGACAGCTAGATTATTATGACCAATTGTTATTGGTCATAATAATCACTGATTAGCTGAAAATCTAGCCTCTTAAACCAGTGTTTTATTGTGGTGGCCTAGCCTCTCACCCAAGTGCTTGGTGGTCTCAGGATGTAAAAGCCATGAAAGAGAGACCTTGCAGACTGCTTTGCACGTACAGTGTCAGATCCTGGCCTGGAGTGTGCAGATGGGACAGCCCTACTCTAGGATAAAAACACTGGCACCTCCAGACACAGAAATTGCAGATGTTTCTCTGATCCCAGACTCATAAAGATGTAGAAAGATGTAAAGAAAGATGTTCAGAAAGATGTAGAGTTACTTGGCCAAAGACAGGTTCAGATACAAGACTTAGCTGCATATTTTGTATTTCTGGCTCGTGGTCTCCTTTGCATTTCCCTGCAAGGCATTTTTACAGTGGCAGAGGTGTCATTATGAAGGGGCTCTGGACATGTGGGGATAGATACATCCAAATCCTAAGACTGCTGCATCATCTAGGTTGGAGTAGGAAATCATTTTTGAAACAAAACACCTTGAATCTGGAGAAATATCTTTATTAGGCAGAGGGGCCTTGTTATGTTGTAACAGTAGATTTACAGCTAGCAGGTTTATGGCATGAGGCTCCTGAGAAAGAATTGTCTTTTAGAAGGTTTATGAAGTGTCTATGGTTGTCTTTGCAGCAGGCTTGGCCCTAAGAGCAAACCTCACATGTGACAGCTTGTCTTGCCTGGAGTGTGGTACGATCCCGCATCCTGTGGTGGAAAGGAGTAAGGGGATAGGATAGAAACTGGCCTCAGAAAGTGTTGTGCCAGTAGATTTGAAAGGGAGATTCCAGGAAAAGAAAGAGGAAGTCAATAGTAAAACTCCAGACGATGTTATAAAATTCTTTTGACTCAGCAGAGAGGCTGCCCACGAGGTTCTGAGGGACTTGCAGGAGATGAGTGGAGTCAGGTGCAGTGGGAACTGGAAAAAAGAGAGGAGCAGAAACCCCCTGATGGACCCAGGGAAGATTTGGTGTGCTCACATAGCGCTGCAAAGGTGACTCTGCTCTCAGGAAACTAGCAGCTAGAGTGGTGAGCTACGAAGGGTAAATAGAATGTGAAGAGCAAAAGGCTGCAACCACAAGATGAAATGCACACCTCGTGAGCAGCGGGAGCTGCACGAGGTCATGGGGATTTAGGGGCAGAGGTTTGTATTGCAGGAGACCCTGCCTAGCTGCCTGGAGGAGCTGACCCACCTCCAAGCGAGGAGCTGTTAGACATGGGACTGAGCAGAGGATATTCTGGAAGAAATCAGTAAGAAAAAGAGCTCTTTGGCATTTCAGGCTGAAGAGTTGAGCTAGCAGGCCTGAGGGCTGCCAGAGTGAAGTAGTTAGTCACATACCAAAATCCCACGACCACTGAAACAACCCGCAGTCCTGGAAGGGAAGAAGTGAAGCCCTGGCAGCAGCAGAGCAGGCAGCTGCCTTCTGCCCTGGTCAAATGCATTTCTACAGCACTGTGGAAGACTTCATTCCAAAACAGCATTATGATTAGTGGCACCTTTTAAAACAGGACTCTAAAACGTCTGAGTGAGCAGGCTGTTATCAATACAAACCAACCCCAACTTGGAAGGAGATCACTCCTCCAAACTAGCAAGCTTCTCAGGCATGCGTGTTTGGACAGTAGGACCTTAACATGAGTTGGTTTCCATCTGCCCTGCTTGGTCAGAAAACCTGAATGAGAAGCCTACTGCCTTCTGAGGGAAATCTGATTTCCTACCTATTTTTATTCACAGCCAGTTTCTAGCTCTATATCCTTATTCCAACAGTGGCCATTAGCTGAAATAGCTTTTTTTCCCCACCCTCAGTGTTCACCTCTGTGATGTGTATACGCTGATAAGTTGTGGCCAGTCTCATTTTCTGAGCTCCACCAAAGCTGAACTCTTTGTTATTGCCC